AAGTTGCTCTTCATCAAAGTATTGGCCGAACAATATCGTACATACTATGATGAAATGAGCATAATCTGACTAAACAAATTGATTTGTTAGTAAGGTATCTTCAAATTTTCAGTAGATTTCAGAAAATATCTCAAGAACTTTGCAAAGGCAACGAAAAATATTTGGAAACTCTAAATGCGAAACATTATCCTGGTGTTCTGTAAAAGTTCAATTCTATCAACTTGTTTTTACCAAATTATGCTCATTTCATCAGTGTTTGTATCAACAGAGAGTTGAATCTTTCATATCACCCTTGAACATCATCATATCACGATTTAAAAAATCACATCATGTTGAAATGTGAACACTACAAGTTATAACACCATGAAGACCATGAAAAGTATACCTCTTCATTCGACTATCATGAGCCTCTTATATTTCTACAGGATTCTCTGTAAATCTGTAATGATTTCATATTATTTGTTGACCGGATCGATTCTATACAAATTTGATCTCACTCTAAGTCCAACAGTAAGCATCAATATGGCCACTTCCAACCAAATTTAAAGATTTCATGAATGAGGTATTCCAGGCCGATACTGATAGGAATTTTTCTGTTGATTTCTGCCATATACGATCGAAAAGACTTGGAAAGCCCTGCGAAAAATCCAGCAACTTCCTTTCGAAATATCTTTCCCGATAATCATCGCATATGAATGTTTCAAGTATAACAACATATTCCTGATTAGATATTCGAATACGATGTAATGACACAAAGCAAAGTCTATCATTTCTGATCACCAGCCGTGTGTTTTGTGCCTTTTCGAACTTTCGAGGTCATCTTTACGTAGCGAATAAGTCATATGTTTGTGAAGAAGATGTATCCATGAGTGCATGAGATGTATGTCTGCGAATGAGGTATGTATGGTGGTCGTATCTATATGTATCAAGATGACAGTTGAGTCAGTCATTTACGAATATATAAGTAACAAGTAAGTTACATAGAGATACATGTGAATATGTAAACATATACATAAACTTATTCATTTATATACATGCATAACCTATGACAACGTATATGCAGATGGGTACAGACTGATTTTGTCAGGGATAAACTAATTCTTACCTACAAAGATAATTAGTTTTATATGCACGTATACATATTTTGAAATGCATAAGAAACTGATAGAGATCCCGGCAACGTGTCATATCCGTCTGCAAATACTGTCTTTTCTGGCATAGTTTTGGCCACTTTCACTCATCATTTCACACGAGCTAGCCGAAAACTCATGGGAATACGGAAGCAGTATTCCAGACCAGATAGATATCACATCGGAAATGATGATTCTTCATACTTTTCTAACCGTTGGAACTATGATGAATATCACCGGATACCACCGATAACTGGCAAGAATTTTCAAGAAACATGGCACACATCATTGTCGTCGACCTATTTCTCACTTATTTCCATTCTTCAGAAGATAATAGAAAAGCACAATTTCCGATAAGGTGTTTTTCCAGGAAAGCGTTAAAAAAGATGGTTCAACAGAATCAAGCTGATACAAGAAAAGCATCGTTCCGGGAAGAATCTAGTTGAAGTCGAAGATTAAAATCAGAGACCTGGGTGTAGTATACTAGAGCTCAGTATAATACTAAGTTTTGTTTTCCGATTCAATTTCATTTCTTAAGATCTAGAATTGATTTTATCCTGAGTTTTGAAACAGAGATTCTTTCTACTGCAAATCGTTGAAGAGACGATGAAGTGCTCGAAACAGTATGCGTTTAAATCATTGTTTTTTCTTGTGGAATGATACCATCACATATACATACCGAAAATTGAAAGTTTGACGATACTATATGACGCCATCAACCGATACTCAAGCGTTTCTCTTAACAAATGAAGAGAAACAGTAACGTGATCGATATTTTATTTTTATTCTTTCTTCATACTTGGAAATTACCGTCGTGTTCTCAAGTTGAAGAAGCGAAAACTTGAAGTGGATGAGCGCCGTTTGCTTCACAACTATTATCATCTATGTCATTTTCAACAGAAAGAGAAAGAGCTCTGTTTCGTTTTTAAGTAGACTATCGAATGTTGTAAGACTTGGGAATTAAACGATGTGAAAGGTTAAACATCTAATAATGATCTGAAATTCGATTAAGGATTGTTTAAGAGAGATATGCCTATGAACCAAATACGTATTTCGAATGAAAAGTTGACAAAACTAAATGGCAACTATTCGCATCTAACTATAGATTCAGAGAATAGTAAAGAGATTCTTAGAGGCGAGAAGAAATGTCATTTAAAAACAAACAGCTGTCTGTGCAAGTAAGGTGTGCATGGGCGTGAGTGTCGGTGAAGAGAAGATTCACATAACATCTCCACTTACGTCAACAGCTACACTTTTTCCAATGGTTTACTTTTCCGGGCAAAATAACGTGTATAAATGAGTACGTTTCGCAAAAAGGGCATGGGTGTGGGTGTGCACGAAGACTCACATCCATACACCACGCTCACTATATTCCGCAGTCTATTTGAAAAAGGGTGTGGGTGTGTGGGTGTGGGTGGGTGTGGGTGTGGGTGGGGTGTGGGGTGTGGGTGTGGGTGTGGGTGGATGTGGGTGTGGGTGTGGGTGGGTGTGGGGTGGGGGTGGGGGGTGGTGGGGGGTGGGGGGGTGGGGGGGTGTGGGTGTGGGTGTGGGTGTGGGCGTGGGGTGTGTGTGGGCGTGAGGTGTGAGTGTGTGGTGTGGGTGTGGGTGTGGATGTGGGTGTGGGTATGGGTGTGGTTAATCTCTTCTCCCACAACCCACATCTACAGCCCACACTCACACCCACACCCACACCCCACTTCCACACGAACATCCGCACTCACAGCCACATATATTCTCACCCACACCCGCCACACTCAATACTAGGCATATGTTTTTATAAGCAGGAATAAACCAATTCCTTGAATTTCTAACTGGAGTTTTAAAACATTTCTACTATTGAAAATTACCGAACTCCTAGTGATTCTGCATGCCAGTTGTAATCAGCTTTGAACGATCTTTCCAAATATATTCTTAGGTTTGTCTAATGTAAAACGTAGGGCTGAAATCAGTTGGCATCGGTCGAAAAAAGTCTAAAAATGAGAATTTTTGAGCAATGGCGTAACCTTTGTTTTGTATTTCATGAATTTCGACTACAGCTTTGGATGGAGCAAGAAACACTGATCATGGCTGATATAAACAATTTACACGAGCTATATTCTTAATAAGGGAAGAATGTCATCGTTGATATCATGTTCTAGAAATTGGTGTATCCGTATCCTTATATTTAAAGCTAGGTCGAAAGTTCAGTAAAATGATCCTAACTCGACTCTAAAGACTCATAGGAACGAATCCTTTTAGGCAGGGCTGGCCCGATAGGGGGTTTTGGGGGTTGTGACAACCCCCCAATAATCGACAATTTTCGTTTTTCCCCCAGCGAAAACGAATTTTTTTTTATTGAATAGTGCTAGAAAAAAGTTTTATTCGCATTGCAGAATCCGGAACAACCCCCCAATGTTTGCTGACTCGGGCCAGCCCTGCTTTTAGGCTTTCTTTAATCTTATCAAGACTTCCTTGATAGATCCGATATTAGCTCAAATGCCAGGTATCAGTTCCCTTGAGTCTCACTTGAGAAGAATTGTTTAATAAAAACAATAATTTATATTATGATTTTTATTTTGTTAAATTGTTATCCTTTCTCTATAGGGTTCGTCTACTGAAGATCCAGAAATCAGATAACAAAATGCAAACATTCTGTAATACTGAACAATGTAATTTTAATACTTTTCAAGCAAATCAACAATAGACTATTTTCAATAAATCTGATTAGATAAAATACAACTTACTTAGGGTTGACCAAAAGTTCTGTCATAGTTAAATAAAAATACAAAGATAATGGAATATTTCCAATTTTATTGCATCAAATGATGACAACAGTTGTAATGATTATTTATAGCAAGTTTAAGCCTTTCTAATAATTTGTTGAAATTTTTTTTGAACTCTTTTTTAAAAAATTTTTTAGCTACGTTGGAAACCGCATGAGCTATGAACATTTCATTAATTGAATTAGTTAAAGGTTGTTCGATAAAGTTATTTAATCCAAGATTCTATAGAATTAGATATGGTCACTATGGCTGATGTGACATTAAATTGATGCTTTTTCTGTTGAATAAATATTAATATCGTATGAGTATGAAGACAGCGATGCTCATTAAACAATTTTGCACATTTTGAGTATGACGCATCTCTTTATTTCATATTACATTAATAAAAGGCTCAAGAAAATTTTCAATATAATACTTATGACCTAAAGTCATGCTTTTATCTACACCAGGATTATTTGATTTACAGAATATACGAAACAAAATTTCGTTCAAATCTGTCTACATGAACAATAGCTCATGACAATTCATCTTCAATAAGCTAGCTAGCATCAAATGAATTATGATTAACCTATCTAAAACAAATCCATGTCTCATCAATAGTCGTTCTAGGATGCAACTCACATGATTTAACGAAATTCCGCTAAGTTTTTAAACGAACGAAGCATAATTAGCTCATGCAGTTTCCAGCATAGCTAAAAATTTCTTTGAAAAAGAGATCGAAAAAAATTTCAACAAATTATTAGAAAGGCTTAAACTTGCTATAAATAATCATAACAACTATTGTCATCATTTGATCCAATAAAATTGGAAATATTCTCTTATCTTTGTATTTTTATTTAACTATGACAGAACTTTTGGTCAATCCTAAGTAATATCATAAATGAATATATTTCGTATAAAAATTACTGCGCATTTTAAGATAACAATCAACACCATGTGTCCTTTAAAGTTCACTTACATGTTGATAGTAGTTATTATTATTATTTTTTCAACATAAAACGTGCTTACAAGATAACAAGAGTTCACCATCATCATTTGATAAGAAACATATAGATAGTTATATATTGTCGACTTCATCATAGACTTGAAAAAATTAAAAACAACAAAAATGGTGCAATCTATGGAATATTTTTCATATTTACAAAATTATTTATTTGAAAATAATCCATCAAGTAATTCTTCGTGTCCAACTTCACCTGTTAAATGGTGTTTTAATGATATTGATGAATATAAATTTTGCATTCGAAATCCTACACTTATTCCATTATATATTTTGGCTTTATCAATTGGTCTTTATTGTTCTAAAAAAATTTCTAAGTTACCTGGAAAATTTCCAACACGATGGCTTTATCAATTAACATTTTTTCTATATGGTATGATGATGACATCAGCTGGTATATTACATTGTTTTTTGGGTGATCCACAAAAATTATCACATACTCTTCAAAATAACGATACCGATTCAATTCTACTTATACAATTACTTTTTGTGATTATTGATGTTGGTTTAACAACAAGTATTGCAGTTAGTTTTCTCTTTTGTGGTTTATGTGATATTAATTTTTTAAATCCAAAATCAAATTGTACACGTTTTCTACTCATGAGTTCATATTTCACTGTTTTCGTTTTATGGACTCTAGGAATATTCAAGCAATGGCCTTGGATAGGTAATGTTCTTTATACTGGAGTTATATCAGTTTGTTGTTTTATTTATTTACTTACCCAATTATGTATTAAACAAAATCGTCGTGCTTTACCTGCTCTTGTTGTTGGTGGAATCTATGGAGCTGTTGGTTTACTTCTTGCATCATTTGGTGCTGAGCGTGTTTGTAAATCCGAAGGTCCATTTTGGTCACAATATTTTGGACCAGAATTTCTTTGGTGTCTATTTTCGGACATTAGTGTGGCATTTATATTTCTATATGTTATACGAGCTAATCGAGAAAAAGAAGTTATTATCAAGAAATATCCTGTTGATATCGAAAAAAATCCTGAAAAATTTTAAATTATTTCGTTTTTCAATAATTTATTATGTGTTTTTGTAAAACAAAAAAAAAAAACTTTATTTTCTAATTAAAATAAATACATGAAAAATTTAATGAATATCAATATTGAGTGATAAATATTTATATATACTATATGTTCAATTCGAAAAGTTCATCTTTTAAGATTCAGTAGAACAGTATTTTACATCATCAAAACAAAATAACACCGATAAAATTTTTTAATATTATTTGTGAAAGATTTTTATTGAATGCTTTCTGTTGTTAATTCGAATTTTATTTGAGAAATTTTTCTCCAGTTCGAGATGAGTTATTAAGATCTATATAGTCATTTTGATAGAATATAGGACTTCTAAACCAGAACTTTAAATTGATATGATCACAATCAAGATATTACTGATGTATAAGCGAGTATCAAAGAAGATATTTAAAGACTAAATGAATTGCTGAATTACAGCAATATATCTCAAACTTACAGACAATGAGTTTGTAGAAAATGTGCTTGGGACAAAACTTGACTATTGACTTTGCTGCGAAATTTTCTCAATGATTAAAATTACGTAAAAAAGGCATTCCTTTGGATGATTGTACTTAAAATATGAATTGTTGTAGTTTTTGTTTCATCAGATCAAGTTCAAATAAGTCGAAATGTTTCAACTACTCAAGAGTGAACATTTGAAATATTTTGTTTAGAATTAATGTTTGCATTCGAATTTCACGACGATAAACGTTTTACAACACAAGTCTGAATTTCAAAAATATGATATCTTATCATGCTTCAGAAAATTGCTATGAAGTGTTGATTTAAAATAGTTATTATCTTGAATACAAAGATTGAGAACGATGTTAAGATCATGAGAATATAGAACAGTGAATTTCTCTATATTTTAATGTTTAATAATATTACTCGTCACATTGATCTTGATAAAGAAATATTTACACAAACTATTGTTTTATTTTCACACAAATAAAAATGTAAAATTCGATAATTCAATAGATGTTTATATGATGAAGTTTAAATCAGTAAATGAAAACAATTTCCTAAATAAGTCAAATATAGAAAAAAACATGAACTATTTATGATGATGAGGTACGCGTTACTTTTTTTTTCATCAGTATAATAACAGAATTAATATTTCTCTTATTCATGAAAACTAAGCAATATTTTTCTTTAGTTATAATAGTGATGATCAATTCCTTCATTAACAGTTAATGGGATTTTATATTTATATACATATCGACAATATTCTTCATGTTTGTATTTTTATATTGTTGTTTCTCGTTTTTTTTTCTATTGAACTGAAGTGTGAGTCAATAGTTGTCATGATTATATCAATGTAGAAAAACTTCATAGATCCCATCGTTATATTTTACAGTTTTTTTGTTCTCTATTGTGCATTGGTGATAAGCAAATAATGGTTTGAAAGCAACGTATACTAACACAGGAAGATAAAGGCATGTAGATCTTGTTTTACCTATGATATATGTTTGTTGTTAAGTGGTTGTTAAATAAAATATTCAAATGACGCTTATCTTTATGAGAGATAAAAAAACAACACATTCATATATTATTTATTTATTTTACCTGATCATAAAGGTTCTATCTAACATTTTTTTGAATTAATAGAGAATAATTATAGGTAAAGTGGAAGTATATTAGATAAATTTCGAGTCAACCATTTTGATTGACTTTATCGAGTGACACAGACGTTGATAGATTATTCGACTACATATCTTTTTATAAGCACGTATAAGAAAATCAATAAAATTTGAAATAGTATCAAGTTTGGATGTAAGTTAAATGTACATTGATCTAGAGAGAGACTCATTTTCTTATAGACTATAATCAATTGATAGAGTTTGAGATATTTCATTTATCAAATTGCATTTCGAGTCATTTCAACAAAACATATTTGGTTAAATGAATTCAAATAAATTAATCTATCTGTTTGTTGTTCTTCATTCAGATAGTTTGATTTGAAAAAAAAAACAGACGCAAAATGTTTAGTGTTCCTGTCAATGTCAATACAATTTATATACCGATGATTCAAAGTAAGTTATAGTTTTTCAGTTACATAAAATCTTTATTATTTTTTATTTGTTAGCTGGATGTTTTAAAGCAGAATATGATTCAGCATATCCAATTCATCTAAATGGTATAATAAGTCAACATGAATTTCTAGAATCAATTAATAAAATAAATCAAACATTTTTTTCATATAAAAATCTTTTAATTGCTTGTTCAATTGTTTTGTCTTTGACAATAATATTTGGAACAGCAAGTTTTACTGTCGGTGGAATAATGGCAGCTAGATCTTTGACAATTTTTTATATATTACTTGGTCTTGGAATATTGTTGACTACAATTGGACCATTATTTTTTACTATTGGATTTTGTCTTATATATACAAAACGTACAGCACGATTACGACAAGCCATTGCTGAAGAATCAATGAAATATTCATCGAGATCACCAACACCATGTAGCTGGAGATTAGAGACTCCGAGAACTTGGTTTGGAGGATATTCATATTATAATAATTATCAAATGTTTTATCAAGTATGACATTTTTTTTATTAACATTTTCATTTTTCTTAAGAATATTATTTATAACTAAAAAATAGTCAAGAAGCTCTCTGAAGATAAATTTCGATAAAATTATTCTTGATATATTTCAATTGTTTGTTTTGTTTTTTTTTCCAGCTAGCAATAGATATTGGTTGTTCTGTTCCGCAAGAAAATATGAATCGAATGCATGGTTCAACTAGAGTAGCTCCGGAATCAACATCTTTTTTTCGACAAGAAGATAATTATGCACCTCCACCATATTCTACTCAAACAGCAACATTTTGTTCACAATGTGGTCTAGCAAGACAAGATATTACAGCGAAATTTTGTTCATCGTGCGGTCATTCATTCAATCAATATTAAATATTTATGTTTTTTTTTAATAGTTACAGTTGATGGCTAAACAATTATTTCTTTTTTTATAAATCACTTGCTTTTATAGATATAAAGGGCTATAATTAGAGGTGTAAGCCATCTTCTTTTTACTTATACTCACACCCTACTTTGATGAGCGGAAATGTTTTGGCCATTTTTCGGGTCGTTTCAGGCAGGAATGACGCGGAAGCCGCTTGAAATCGAACGAAAAATGTGATGTTTTCGGCGGGTTTCCATCGTTTTGGAACGCTGGAATCATCGACCTGGGGTATCAAGTCTGCTGATCATGATGTCCATAAGATCACTTTAACTTTTCGAACGATGCTAGGTAAATCAGAAGAGATGAAGCATTTTCATGTGCTTCATCGTCATCGAACTTGTTACCGTCAGACTTCTGTTCGCAATTGTATATCAAAACAAATAAATATAAACGGTAGTGCAAGATACGATTGTATAAACGCGACAGAAAACTCAAGAAACTGAAGCATCAAAAAAAGAGACACTTCATAGTGTTGTTTTTTATTTCAGTTGAAAGTGATAACTTTGAACAGTATTGGTAAAATTCGTTTGTACAAATAAAAATTTCACAGTAATACCTATCATGTAAAAAAAAATTAGTCAATCAAGTTTGATAAATAGTGGAGTTATAAGAATTTACTTTTCCGATAGACTTTTCGAATACCCTGTAGTTAATAATTATTGATTAAAATTAGTGATATTCAAAAAAATAATTTAACAAAATGTAACCCATTCACTTCTACATCGAATAAGATATAGAAGGGTTTGAAAACAATTATTTAACAATGAAAAACTAATAAAACATTAACTGTGCCTTAAACTTTTGAGTACTGGAGGAAAAAACGATTACTGGCATAAACAACATGAAAACATAATCCTTTAAAAAGTTAGGCGTGTGAGTCTTGTAGTTCATTCAGAGAACTATCGAACTCACTGTTTGAATGTCATTATCGAATGGGTTGTCATAAAGAAAATTGAAAAAGAAAAAGTGCCTCAACTTTTGATTCTTCCCTTTCATGAAGATGTTATCAGATCATATATTACATTTTTGTTTTGATAGAAAAATTTAACGATAATGTATACCATTACAAAATTAGATATGTCTGTTTCTCGATTGGTTTTTTCTTGTAACTTAATCTAATTTTATACCTTAAAGACATTATGACACCATGTAAAGAAAGGCGGAAGAAAAATGTATATGTCAGGGTGATAGTAATTATTATGAAAATAGTCATTTGATGATTAAATCATGCTGGACTCGAGGACAAAATCGACACGTATACCATCATGAGAGTGTCGCATTCCTTTGGGACATTGTGATGTGAGATTTTCACAAATTGGCGCTAATAAATAGCAATTGCTCTCAAGGTGAACTATCATTCAATTGCATTCAGACAAACGTACATACTTGGTCTATATTTGTTTGAGTTATTCGTCTACACAAATATGGCGGATATTGTATCTCTGGCTCTTTCACTCGGTTCTTTAGTATTTGATCTTGCTGGAGCTGGAATTCGTGCGTTAAGTGGAAGAATATATCATCATCAGGACGACAACTTGAGAAATTCAACTATGAAATACGGTTACCAGAACCCGTATTATGGTTATAAGCAAACCACTGACTATTTATACTCAACCAATATCAACAAACATATCCATACATATTGACAACCGTACTTAGTTGATAAACTAGATTTTTATATATGCAATCAATATTGTTAGAGAGCATTATAACAAAGGTCCATTTTTATTTCTTTATCTTTCTTCTTTACCTTTCTCGTGTATATGTGTCTATGCGTGCGTCTTCAATTTCCAATACGCATACCCACTTTAGAACATATTTAAGTCAATCTTTTTATCTCTTTCGTCTCATTTCTCGCATACAGTTGAAAAGAAGATGCTTGACATCATGTTCGTCGTTACGCTAGTTTTAGCCGAAGTAGGAGAAATGAAGCCATCACCCTCCTCCTCCTTCTCTCTTTGTCTTCTCTGTTTATTTTCCTTCTCACTCTTCCTCATTTTTGTTTTTTCTACTTTTCTTCTGTTTTGTGTGTGCAAATGCCTTGTCTGTATATGACGCATGGATAGCTGAAAATTGTTTTTTTAATGATACAATTCGAGAATACACTTGTTATCTTCTTCTCCTTTTGTTATTTCGAGCGACGTCCATTTACTTTATTTTGTCTACCAACAATCGATCTCTGTAGCGTATCACTATAAGAACTATGTGAATGTGAGTGAGAGTGTTGGTAGAGATTCTACACTCACACTCACACCACACTCCACATCCAATACCCACACTCATACCCCACACCCACCCTCAATTTAAGATTCAACAGTTCTAAATATCTGGTATGTAAATTCTCTTCCCACTCCTGCATTTGATGATACTTTTCTCTTTTTTCATATTATAGTTACGAAAACCAGTAGTGTTAGCAGCATAAAATACAATTGATGAGGTTTATGATGTTAGTAGTCATCTTAATGACTTCAAGACAACATTGTTCAATAGAAATCTATCCGATACTATCAGATTCAACCGAATTTTGTTCGAAGTTCATGAAAACTCAGAAAAGCACTGCGCTCGCTGTATCCTTTTTGAGTGCGAGTTATTCCAAAGCTTTTTCTCAGACGAATTCAACTGAACGAATACTGTTAGTGATGCCACCAAATTTAGACATAGTGCATATCGATTTCGCCAAACCCAATGGCTTTTCTGGTATAAACGAAGAATCGGATTACTTTCTCTGACTAAATAGTGAGAAAAGAAAGTAAGTGATGTGCTCTCATTTTATCTTTAACAATTATTTTTTCTCTGAAAATAGTTATGGATGCTTTGGTAAAATCATGACAGAGAGAAATAGTTGCTGATGGAATCGAAAAATTCTGTTTGAGTTTCGCTGTTTTTGCATCAAAATGATGCAGTTATTGAATAAATTCCATGACAAGTTTACTGTTCCGTGTTAGATAAGAATAGTTGAATCTTGCTAAGGAATGTTCTAGCCAGCCTTTTCGGTACTTGATATTATTCTATTTTGTGAATGAAATAAGTAAATAAGAATTGGTTAAAGATTCTAACGAGTATTTTGACTCGTCATCTCTTCACTAGACATATACATTCATCGTTACCTCAAAAGTTTATGTCTCACGTTTTTCTAAAGATTTATAGATATTCTGTTTGTTGAAATGACTTCTCGTAAGAATGCAGTCTTCTTTCCATTAGTATACACGTATGAAAAAGTCTTGACGTTTCTTGAAATGCAAAATGCTTTTCCTTCTAAAAGAAGTTGTGAGTGTTCATTCCTATTCCATCACACATTTGCATGTCTGAAACACTAACAATACTCTTTTCATAGCAAAAAAAAACAGACCCTCCCTACTTCCTCCTTTTTTGAGAACAACCCTTCAAAAATATTTTTTCATGGATCCTTCTTTTTCTCAAATGAACGTTCACATACCAGTACAAATTGTTGAAGTGATTTCTAAAATTTTGGACATATGAACTCCAAAATGACGTATACTGTCGATGTCAGAGTTGAAAAAACTCAATGACAATCTAATCGATGCCTCATGAATACTAAACATTTCAATTGACCGTGAGACCTCAATCAAACACGTAAATCTTTTGTAAAATTTTCTTTCCATTATACTTATATTGTAGTAGTCACAACTTATAAAACATATTCGAACATCAATCAGATAATGACAGTTTGTCGAAATAGTCAAATAAATGGTTGATAAACTACTAGTTTACAAAAAATTTTGTTATAGTTCAAAGTCAAGATTGATAGAAAGGTATAGGAGAAAAACTTCTCGCCTTAATGTTGAAAACTAACATGTTTGTAGGAGAAGTTTCAGATTGTCAGTGCCCTCGTTAGCAATAACTAAATCCAGCTTTCTATCATTATTAAAATCACCAACGACAACAGAAAATGGAAGAGTTCCTTCACCAACTGAGAAGCACTTTGGATTGGTAAAATTGCCATTCCCGTATTCAAAAAAAACACATACACTGTTCGAACCATGATTGACGACAATAATGTCTAGTAAGGTGTCGTTATTAAAATCAGCAACTGTAACTGAGTAGGGCTCAGAATTGGAACCAGTTGAGTAGGTCATTTGATTTGCAAGAGAACCATTACCATATCCTAAAAATATGCTTATATTGTCGTCTTTAGAATTAGCGATGACAATATCCAGGTTACTGTCGTTGTTAAAATCACCTAGTGCTATAGATTTTGGAGCAGTACCCGTTCTATATGTTAATTGATTTGTAAAAGAGTTATTGCCATATCCAAGAAAAATACCGACATGATTAGTTTTCGAATTAACAACAGCGATATCCATGTTATTGTCATTGTTGAAGTCACCAATAGCGAATGATTGTGGTTGAGAACCATTACCAGTTGAGAGTGTTCTTACTTTTACAAAAGCTTCGTTGGCATATCCAAAAAGTAGAGCTACATTATTGTTATTAGGATTAGTAACAACAATATCCAGTCGCTTGTCATTATTGAAATCACCAGTAGCGACAGAAGTTGAGCGAAACCCACCATTAGAATATATTATTCGTTCAGCAAAAGAGCCATTTCCATATCCAATGAGAACACTTACAGTGCGATCATACTTATTGGAGATAACAATATCCAATCTTGTGTCATTGTTGACATCACCGATAGCTACAGACTGCGGAGAAGAGCCAGCATAAAATGTGATTTGTTTAGCAAAAGAACCATTCCCATATCCTAGAAGCACACCTACTGAATTGCTATCGGTACTAATGACGACAATATCCAATTGAGTGTCATTATTAAGATCACCAGTCACCAGAGATGTCGGCATAGAACCAAGAGAAAACGTAATTTGTTTAGCAAAAGAGCCATCGCCATATCCGAGAAGTATACTTACAGTGTGATCATTTTCATTAGCAACAACGATATCCAGCTGACTGTCATTGTTGAAATCACCGATAACAAATGAATTTGGATGAGAACCAGTGGAAAACGTGATTTGATATTTGAAAGAGCCATTGCCATATCCGAGAAGAACACCTATGTTGTTTTCATTTGTATTAGTGACAACAATATCGACTAGTGTGTCTTTGTTGAAATCTCCGACTGCTACAGATTGCGAATAGGATCCAGTAGAAACTATGATTGGATTGTCAAAAAGACCGTTACCATATCCAAGAAGTACACTTACACTACCATTAAAACCATTACTAACGACGAGATCTAATCTTGTGTCATTGTTGAAATCACCGACTGCTATAGACTGTGGATAAAAGCCTGTGGAAAACGTCATTTGATCTTTAAAAGAGCCATTGCCATATCCTACAAGTATACTAACTGTATTGTCATAACTATTACAGACGACAATATCCAGTATTGTATCATTGTTGAAATCACCGACAACGACAGACTGTGGTTGAGAACCAGTAGGATATGTCGTTGCATTTGTAAAAAACCCTATATCATATGTAATAAATATATCAACATTTTCAGTATTATCATATGCAACAACAATGTCAGAGCGTCTATCATTGTTGAAATCTCCAGCAGCAACAACGAAGGGAGTAAAATTCGAATCAATTTGATAGCCTTTCTGTAGCAAAAATGTTCCATTGTCATTCCCAAGAAGTAATTCGACATTTTTAGTATTTAAATTGGTCACTACAATATCTAGTTGAGCATCATTATTGAAATCCGCAATGGCCATTGATTTAGGATGTGAATTTAATCCAACTGTATGCATCATCTGGCTTCTAAATGTGCTATTGCCATATCCAAGAATGACACCTACGTTATCCGTAGCATAATTAGCAACAACAATGTCTAATAGATCATCATTGTTAATATCGGCAACGGCAACAGAACTTAGACGAGAACCACCGCCAGAGGCAAGTACTATTTCCTTTCTCAAAGCTCCACTGTTATCATAAAGCAGTACATAGACTTCATTATTAACAGAATTGGTTACTATAATATCTAGTTTCGTGTCATGATTAAAATCACCAACAGCTAGTGAAGATGGACCAGAGTCCGTAGAAAATGTCATTTGGTTTTCAAAAGAGCCATTGCCATATCCTAGAAGTAGACTTATAGTATCATCACCATTGTTAGTGACAACAATATCGACTTGTGTGTCATTGTTGAAATCATCGACAACGACTGCATATGGATAAGAGCCAGTTGCAAATGTCATTGGATCTTCAAAAGAGCCATTGCCGTATCCGAGAAGTACATTAACAGTACTCATCTTATCAAAATTTGTGACGACAACATCTAATAGCGCGTCATTATTGAAATCACCAACAGCTAATGCGTACGGTCGAAACAGAGTGAAAGATACAATATGATTTTGAAAAGAACCATTGCCATATCCGAGAAGTACACTTACAAAGAAGTTTCGATAATTAGTGACGATAATATCGACTCGTGTATCATTGTTGAAATCAGCAACTGCTACAGACTGTGGAAAAAAGCCAGTGGAAAACTTTATTTGATTTTCAAAAGAGCCATTCCCATATCCAAGAAGTACACTTACAGTGTGGTCTCCAGTATTAACGACAACGATATCCAAACTTGTATCATTGTTGAAATCACCTACTGATACAGATTGCGGAGAAATACCAGTGGAAAACTTCATTTGGTTTTCAAAAGAGCCATTCCCATATCCAAGAAGTACACTTACAGTGTGATCATCATGATTAGCGACAACAATATCCAATATTGTGTCATTATTGAAATCACCGACAGTTACTCCATATGGACTAGCACCAGTAGAAAATGTCTTTTGGTTTTGAAAAGAACCATCACCATATGCAAGAAGCAGACTAACAGTCTTGTCATAATAGTTAGTGACAACAACATCTAGATGTGTGTCGTTGTTGAAATCACCGACGGCTACGGATAGTGGAAATCGACCAGTAGAATACGTGCTTTTGCTCGAAAAGCCTTTGTCATAACCATAAAGTATAGCTATAATGTTAGTGTCATTGCTTACAAGAGCCATATCTAATCGACGATCGTTGTTAAAATCACCTACTGCTGCTGCTATAGAAGAAGATGATCCAGTGGAATACATTTTTGGACTTGCAAAAGTGCCATTACTATAGCCTAGAAGCATGCCTATATTTTTAGATCCTTTATTAGTTACAACTATATCAAGTTGACCATCATTGTTGAAATCATCAATGGTAATTGAATACGGCGAGGAAGTGCCCAGTGAATATATTGTTTGATGTGCAAATGTTTCATTCTCATAAGTCAAAAATATACCGACACTTTGTGTCCCATAATTGGCGACAGCGATATCCAATAGATTGTCGTTATTCAAATAAGAAACAACAACGGAGTATGGATGAGAGCCAGAACCTGTAGACAATGGTTTTTGATATTTAAAGTTACCATAGCCATCTCCAAACATTATACCTATATTATCTGTGGCTGAATTGGCAATAATAAGATCTAATTTGTTGTCATTATTTAAATCTCCAGAAATAACTGAGAAAGGACGTGAATCATAGCCTGTTGAATACATAGCTGGGTTTGAGAAACTCCCATTCCCATATCCAAGCAGTACGCTAATACTATTGATCCCATAATTCGCAGTAACAATGTCAGGTAATGTGTCATTATTAAAGTCTGCAATGTGTATCCAGAGTGGACGAGATGAGCTAATTGAAATCAATATTTGTTCTTCAAATAATCCATCTTCATATCCAAGAAAGATACCTATGCTGTTAGTGCCAAAATTTGCGACAGCGATATCTAACCGATTATCTTTATTGAAATCACTAACTGCAACCATAGATGGAGAAGAGTCATTACCAGTCGAATAGGGTGTTTGAATTTCAAAAGTGTCATTACCATAACCAAAAAAAACTACAATCGTACCAACAACACGATTTGCAACAACAATATCTAACCAAGTGTCATTGTTGAAATAACCCACAGCGACAGATCGAGGACCATAATTGTATTCAATTGGATTTGGCATTGTTAATACGAAGTTCAGCTCACATTTTTTAACTAAACAACAAAATAAAAATCATTCAATGTATAACGAGTTGTTCGATTGCAAATATTCATCTTTGCTTATTTGACAGTGCTCGATCTTTGAATATCAAAACTATACTGGTAAAAGTTATCGGATTAGCATGTGAGACAGTTATAGTAAGAGAAGAATACATCAATCACTGTATTTATCAGTTCACTGTTGTTAATCTACTGTTGAATTTCATAAAAAAATGCATCACTGGTTTTAAAAAAAGTGCTTTGAATGAACGTTTCAGATACTCTGAAATGATAATAAGTGACATTCAATCACTATTTAATCATATGAATAAATAAAAATACAAGCCAAAACATAAACTTAATATAAAAACTGATATTCCAAATTATTTTGACATAAAAAACTGCTAATGCTACTGTTTTTCAATAATATCATCTAAGCATTAAATACGTTTTTTTTTTGTACATAAACGATTTGTAGCAATTGACAGACTATGACAATTTGTCTCATGGATAAGTCTTTCATTCTTAACTTCACCATTCATTTCTTCGTTAATAAGCATAAATATAGTCGAAGAAAATCTGATGGTTTCTCGATGGCTTATTTTTATCCTTGAAAGAAAAATGCGTCAAAATAATTTTCAAATATGAAAAAATTCAATCATACCTTCTATTTCTACAGACATTTACTGGTCATTCCCAGAGAAGTATCTCAATGGATAGGACCAAAGGAACTTTTTTTCTCTTAATCTTATTACATGAAGAGCATGAATATCATAAACATATTCTAAATCACATATATGTTCATAAATGAGAAGTATAACCAAATGATTGAGTACAAGTTTATCGAGCTTGTTACAAAGACAAGATAAGCATTAAAGAACAACTAATCGACAATTTCAGTTGTTAATCTAATAAATTACAAAAAAAAATTATGCTTTGTTTTCAGATTAATTTTAAATATAAATGGAACACAAAGTATCAGTTCAAAATAGTTATTTAAAATTTTTTTCTGCTATAAAAATCTTCGACAACAACTTCAATAATAAGTTTTATTTTAAGACATTAATGAAATTCGTTTTATTTAGATACATTTTATCATTTTGAAACGACGGATACGATTTTGTACAAATAATATTGTATCTAGTTTATCGAAATTAAAGTGAAGAACAATTAAAAGAAGATAAATCTCCATTGGAAAAAATCAAATTAGTTTTTCTATTTAAAATGATTTCAACGATAAATTGACAGTGAGTATTTATTGAAAAAAAAAATAATGGCCTTTTTTTATTTACACAATCTTTTTATTTCGGTTGAAAGCAATAATAACTGCAATGGCAAGTACTATTTTAAGAATCAAATATACATTTTTTTTTTCTTATTTAGATTAATCACAAAAACCACTGCACAAGTCAGTATAATTTAAAAAAGAAACATTAATCGAATATTTGGTATTACGATAGAGAAAATTGTTGGTCCCTGAACGATCCATTTGGATCCCCGACAAAATCTCTAATAACTCTCCAAGAATTCCGTGCGGAAAATTCCTGAAGTTTTTTTAAGGGGACTCTCAGGGAATTTGTTAAAGGATTCTTGATTAGGATAACAAGTTATAGAATCTTGTGTTGATTAAATACTTGAAATTCGAATATAGAACGTCAATTTCACTGTTTCTGTCAAATCGATTATTATCTTTGAAGATTTTTAGAAAATAAAAAATTCTATACAAGAACAATATATATATATCAAAGAGTCTTCAAGAATGCTCCCCTAGTAAAAGAACAACTCTAAAAAGTGATCAATTGTTTAGAAAATATTTAAAAAAATTTTTTCGTCTGATTTTATTATCCTTACATAAAAATTACTTTTCTATTAAAAAGAAAAAAAAAGAACATACTTGTTTGTTTTGATGAAGTAAAACAAACTATTAGTATACCAGCTATCATTATTACAATTATGAATACAGTAAATTCACATATAATTGTTGAAGTTCGAGGTTTTGACCAATACGATGTCTTCCTAATGAAAATATTATTATTTATATTATGATGAATAAAAAAAAAAAAGAAGAAAAGTAGATATACAAAGTTGTTGAAGTCATGGAAAAAGATTTGGCTTGATTATTGATGGGAACAATTTCTTTTTGATTATATTGATTTATTATTGAATTCTCAACTTGCTGATTGTTAACATGAGAATTTTGTGCATCAATTGAGTTTTCGACTGAAATAACAGAGTTGTTAACGTTAGATTTTCCCATCTGTAATAGAAAAGAACATAGTTTATCACATTGTTCTCACAGACATTATTCATTTGTAATTCGAATAATTTAATTTAATTTACGTTTATAAATGATTGATTAAATATTTTCTATGTGAATTAGTTACAACTTTCTGATAAAAAATAATTTCTAAAACAACAAATCATTTTGTTTTGATTAATTTTTATTTGAAATAATAGATGTTAACAAAATTTTACTCAAATATCTTATTCAGATTAGTTTTTCAAGGTGACATAAAGATTCACATTCTACAAAATAAAACAACAATGTGAAGATATATTATAATGAAACATTCATATTATACAAGTTTTTCTTCTAAATTAATTATTTAACCGAAAGTATTCATTGAAATATGACTTTATTTAATTAAGAACTTTTAACATATTAAAAAAATTTAATTGATAAATATTGCTTCTGATCTCAAAACCAGATCAATTTTAGCAGTAAACTGCAAGTTACCGCCAAAGCAAGAAAAACGACGATTTTTTTTTTCGGTTTTCATTACATAATAGTTTTTTCATGAAACCATAAATGAATGAAATATATTAATCAGTTCATCTCTGATTTTATTTCAATTGAGACATCATTCACTATCATACTATAATAAGATTTCATATTTATTTATTTAATCAATATTCTTTTCAATTGTAAACATTTTTCATCTTAGGAGCATTGATAAGGTGTTATGTTCATTTTCATATAAGTTTTTCTATAAAGTACGGAAGAAAAAAATAGGTTCTAATCGAAAAATATATTTGTTTATTTTTTCTTGTTTCTTTCAAAATTTTTCTGAATAACTTACTTCAATTCTATGAATTATTTACATGACTTAATAAAGATCTACAATAATTTTTCCTTAACATCAAATCACGATATTTGAAATAAAATTGAAAATATAAGAAAACTAGAAACCATATAAAAACACTGTAGAGTTAAGCCTAAAAGTGGGAATTAGATTATTGAAGATCTTTTCATTATTTTGGACATTCAATTATTTACTAAGAGAGATAACTTATCTATGCGTTTCCGCGCATAGTTTAATTTCTGAATATCTGAATTTCAGATTAGAAGTATAATATACCCTAAAAGATATTTATTTTTCATTGAAATAAGATTTCTTTTTTTCGTCGATGTGACTCAGACAGCTAATTGAGATGATAATCAAAGTGTAAATCATCGATTGTGAAATGTCTTATTAAAACAAATCTATTAAAAATATGTAAAAATCAATTTTTTTAAAGAGAATGCTGACTAATATTCGTTCTTGTCTTCGTTTTAATTATTTCAAAACTTGAAAAAAAACTCAGCTCAAGAAAATTTGTGTTTTTAAGTGGCTTTCTATAAGAAAATGGGACATGCGACTAAAGACTAAAAACAAATAGATGGTGTCGATTTGATCATAAAATGTTATTCTGATATTTAACGTGAAGAATGTCTATAACTGTAGGCAAAATGCTACGTATACATGTGCAATACATTTTTACATGACAAGCATGTGAACGCGTCGCAGTAGATGCTATATTGTCGATCATAGGCAGTAAAAATCTATACATATATACATTTTATTATCACATGCAAGAACATACATACCCTGTTTTACAACATGAACTTTTTTACTGTTCGATTATCTACTGACCTTAGAAGTGCAATGAGACCTGAAGCATATTATAATTGTCCAATAACTATTAGGTAAATGTGTACAAGACTCCTAATGACTGTAATGACTTTGAAAAAAGAAAATAAGACTTCGGTTTACATAGTTTGATTATATAGAAGATTGTTCTCATTTTAGCAAAAAATAAACAAATATACGAAAAAAAAACACTTAACTTTTGCATGGACAAGCATGTGCACTGCAAAATAGCTGAAAGCTGCACATTGATATAGAATTTCTGTCGTAATAGTTTTCATCAATACGAATTTTTCATATTGACATGCAGCATCTAACGAAATTCTGATCATCCTATAGGTATACACAAATAATACATCGGCATTTACATATAAGTCATAAACCTCGTATGAACACCCTGGAATCTTATTTGCGAATATTTGTAAGGATAAAATTCATGAATGATCAAGAATGTTTTGTCTAACAAATTGTAATTGCATGTATGTGGTTGAAAAGAGCAGACTTATGGATATGTTACTGTTCACATTTATAGCTACCCAATACTTGTCGATACTTCACATGGCTATGCATGTTCGTGCATGAGATTTACTGACAGGAAAAATATTTTGCAAGTTAACGCGAGTCTCTCAAAGTTTCAAATAAGTACGCACGTTTTTTTTTCAAGCTACATAGTTAACTGAATACTATTTTCAAAATAATATCTAACTCTTTTCAAATATTGCTTTCATTAAAAGTTTTTTTTCTAATATTAGATATTCAATAAAAATCTTAGAAAAGAACTAATGTAACTTCTTTCGTTTTCCTATATTAATTGTCGCTTACCTTCTCTTGTAAACATCTATCGTAATTGATCGACAAAATAATCATCGAAGATTTGAATGTAATAGGAGTAGCCGGATTTCATGAGTATTAGTGGATCATTAAGCGGAACAATCCAAGAAACTCTCAGAACTCAAGAACTGTCAAAATTCAAGAAACTAAAGAAAGTGTATGTGGGAGGAGAGTATGGGTGAGTGTGTGGTTGTTGATATATCGGATAGAAAAGTGAAGATCTTCTCAGAAATCATCAATAAGCTCGGACCACACGTTTCAGAAGTTCTTAGAATTCCTAGTGTCAAGAGTTCCGATAGTATCGCGACTTCTATGAGTTCTTTTAGCTCCGTTTAACTGTAGTTGATGACTGATCGTTATCGATGAATGTTTAAGTTCAGAATTGCTTGCGAATTCCGATCTCACAAAATTCGGACACGTCTGCCTTTTGAACAACACTAGTCAAATAACTCATTTTAATAATGGTTAATATATGAATATGCCTCAAGATTTTACCTATACCCAAAGTATACCTTTTCTTTTTGCATGAATGCTTTTTTGTTAACGAAAAAATAATACAAGAAGATTCATATTAATGCAAAACAAATTATATTTCAACGATGATGTACTAATGATATTTCTTGTCTTTTTTTCAGTCACCCTCATTATATCTGATGACAATTTAAAGATTCGATAAATAAGAAAAAGTACAAGCATAGAATTGATAAAAATATATATATCTTGTTAACTTAAACACAGAGAAATTAAATGAATCATTAAGTTGTCTATCGCTATTGTATGTTTAATTGAATGATTAAATGGAAAAAAAAAATATCATACTATTCGATTTGTTTTTTTTTTTTCTAATTTATGTTATCAATTGAAAAGTATGAAATAACATACACACATATTTTTTTATGGATACAGATTGATAAGTTAAATTGATTTTTTCTGAGTATGAAATAGAAAAAAGTTTTATTTCGTATAAAAAGGTTGTATAAATACTCATCAAAGCTTTTATCTCATAGAAGCATTTGACTGTTGCATTGATGAAAATAATTTGTAGACTTGTTTTTGATTTTCTTTATGAATATTAATTTCAAAGCAAAATCGAAATAGACATATATTTTTCTACATGATAAAAATTAGTCACGATCTTATTAGAAATGAATTTATTAAAATAACAACAAAACAACAAAACTTTTATTTTTATGAAAAGGTCAAAATCAAATCAGGACTATTGAGTATCAAAAATTTCCTGGATAAGAAACGAATTCATTAATTTAAATATTATTTTTGTGATGAAAAAATTATAATGACAAAGGAATCTGATCATCCGAAAAGTAAAAATTATGCAATATTTGAAATATGATGTTATCATTGAATATGATAAATATAAAATATATACTTGATTTATTAATTTCATTACAACTGTCATTATTAATAACAAATATTATTTTTATTTTCAGAATATAAAAATCATTTTTATTTCTGTTATGCTGTAAAATCGAATTATTTTATTAATTTTGTAACAAATATTTACTGTTAATTTTGTTTTGTATTTTGCACATAAAGTTCTGTTGAATTTAATAGTAAAATCTATGAAACGATCCTGCTGCTTCTGTGTATACTCGTCGAATATTGCACTCTATAAGAGTGATCAATATTTGCCATAAAAATTCATCGATGGCTATCGAAATAAATCTTTTATCATATTTATTGTTTATTCTTATAGATATAGATGTCAATCCAATTACATAAGTTTGCAAACAGTAGAAAAAGGTAAAGATGATGTCTTAGGTTGAAGAATAGTATGTCGTAATGGAACATAACCTATAATCTCATGTAGAAAGGTAACATAATCACTAATTGGTATAATGTTTCATTATATACATTGATTGGTTCACTTTTCAATGCTTGATAAATTGATTCACGATTAATCATACAGATTTCATAGAGCTGTAAAAATTGATGGCCATCAAGTTGTGAACATAGAAGAAACATAGTATTATCAAGTCCATTGCTAAGAAAAAATTATTGAACATGATTACTAGTCCATTGAATGCTGTACTAAGGTAGTTCTCTACATAAAGAAATAACATAGGATGAGAAAAATACGAATATAGATCTATAACTGGTACACATAGCTTTATTTCCTTGTAAAATTCATCTGTGGAATCGAAAGTTTCAGGTTGCTCTTTTATTTCAATATAGAATTATAGGGAGTAAAAAATCAGCTTTTTTTAGTCTCATTTGTATTCACTTAAACATCAAGGACCAATAACGCAACTTGATTGTTAAACAATTGACAATTAGCCTTATCATCTTGAAATCAATCAAAAAGAATCTTTTTCTGTAAAGATGAGCACTGATCATGTATCAAGAACAAAACCTATCCGAATAATATCGTCAAAATTATTGTATTCATTTTGAAAAATACTTCATTTTCATTGTGTTCGCTATCCGAAACAAATTTCAATTATAAGTTGCAAAAACAGAACTCACACGATCGAAGGTCTTCTGATCATTGTCAAAACTTCTTCAGCAAGTTTAGAAATCGTAGAAGATACAGAAAGTAACAAAACTATAGGCCCCTCTGACATATGTAGACAAAAATGTTTAATTTTGTTTTCATAACAAATAATATTGATGTGGTTATGGTATGAATAGAGGAGAGTACATAACTGCTATTTGACCCTACCATCTGCTCCTATTTGTCTTTTGCTGTTGGAGCAAAAAAACAGGGTGCGGGTGTGACTGTGGATGGGTGAGGTATATTGAAAGACAATGAACACCTACATCCGTACCCATATCCTCACACCCACAATCCCAACATCCTAAGAATATAACATATAATCGGATGAACCATATGGAATAACATCCGAGGAGAAACAGTGAACTTCAGACTTAAAGATTTCAAATTTCCAAAAGACTTCAGAAGATTTCATGACACTTCATGTGACTTCATGAGACTTTATAAAATTTCAAGAGACTTCAAGTCTACATGAGCCTTTGAGGAGCCTTAAAAATGGCACCGAATTTCTGTACCATAAAAAAACACACTATTTATTAGATAAAGAGAGCTATATCGATATTGGTATATCTAATACTCCAAGTTCTCGACTAACGCAATGCCAATAAGCTATTTGAGATCCTTGTGAAATATTGTGATGTGTAAGCTTCGAATAGTAATGCAGAACACTTTCTAATGCAAACATCGAGTGAAAAACTAATCCGTCCAACGATTGACATTGCTCGTATAGATGTAACAGCGCATGAACCAAATATAGTTCATTGCATCTCCCAAAAACCATTGGAAGCTGAGTTAAGTATTCGTTGATAGATAATCTTATATCTCATAAATCATGATGAGTTCTTGTTAGGGATGAATTTTCTCATCTTTATTTTGTAATCACGAAATACACACACATCTAATCACTAACTACATACGACCAAAGAGATGAGAAGAAACGCATGTATATATACCAATAAATAGATCGAGGGAAAGAAAGAGAAAACGAATACAAGAATAAAGGATGATATCACACAACAAAGGAAAAAGATATATGTAATCATAACGACAAAGAGTGAAATCATATAACGACAGAAAAGAAAACAAGACCTGGATAATGTGAGGGCTAGCCCGTAACAGTTCTGAAAAAACGTAAAGTTCTAATGTAGATGAAGAAAAGTGAGGACAACGATTGATGCTGAGGCGGTAGAAAATGAACAGCAAAAGGTAAAGCAATATATAAGAGAAAAACACGTAATTGTGTTGCTTTTCATTTTCCAGTAGATTCTATGTTAACAGGATCTCATTTTAAGATGAGAACAATAGAAACAGAAAATGAGATTTGCTGAACACTTTAGACTCGTATAACTCTTGCCAGACTTCTTCTCTACTTTTTTAAAATTAAAATTTCGATTACCTTCACCACTAATGTCAGTTAATAAACCATCATTCTGTAAAACCATAAGATCATGGACAATAGACGATAATAATCAATCAGGATCTGGTGTAATCGTCGAATGCTATAAACCAAACAACATCATATTTTTATGATATTCTCTCACAGGATGAGGTATCTCTGCTAGAACAGCCACCATCTACAAAAAAGCATAATTATAAAAACAAAAATGAAATAAAACAGAAATCATAATTTCACAGTAGCTGTCAACTTAAAAAGAAAAGAATAATGTTACTCACAGGCCAAATAGATGAATTAGATGATACAATTCATGGTTTACCATCCGTTGACAGCATTAAACTTAAACGATTTTTCGAGGATTTCTTTCGATAAAAATCTACTGTAAGAACATAAATCAAAAAATGGTTTGCTAATACTGTATTAAAGAAGAATATAATCACCAAATAAAATATCACATGATGGCGGGTGTGGTTCCTCTATTTATTAACACCCACACCCCCACACCCCCACACCCCCATACCCTAACCGCCAACCCCACACCCACAAGCACACATCCATACTCATACCCTCGTAATATTAATCATTGACTGAAGACTTGTACAGACAGATAATTTGGGATGACTTTCCTATTTGCAAGACTTGGGTTTAATTTTGTACAAAGCGAAATATTTATGCAAACTTTTATCAGTTCAAATTATTTCTTTATTTCGATTTACAAATGTACAAAAAAAATTTACAAATTTGTTAGCATAAAGAGTTCGTGCTAAATTAAATACCAGTTGATTTCGACATCGATCTTTCTCTAAGTCTATTTCCAAATAAGAACAATGAGTGCAATAGCGAGTGCGATAGAAATAACAATATGCAATAGAAACAAAATTAATATTCGATTATTCCAAGGTGCCAGATCAGTTGCATCACTCTTTCTATCATTGACACTCGAATATGTAGTGTACTCAGCTAGTTCAGTATCATTTCTCTTATTCACTGCTTCCAAGGATAATTTTCGAAGAAATTGAATAATTTCCAAAATAATAACGATAAAAACCACCCAACCAGACCAAAGTGAAAGAATAACGATCATACCAGTTCGATTTTCATTGAAAATTGTAACCATAATAAAGATGGTTGGTATCGAAAGAAAAAAAGCCAATGCTCCAGTCATTCGATGTAGCCAATTGTAAATATAACGAAATGAACTTTCTGGATGACAACGAAATAGTGCCATCCATGATTGTAAAAGTGCACAGCAAACAATTATACCACCAAGAACAGAATGGACAAATATAAGACCTTCATCAGATGTTATCCATGTGCCTTGTGTTTCAGCCAAAATGAGCAGAAAGCCGAGTAGAGTTGTCACTGTAGTTAAACAAGCAATCAAACGATGAATTTGAAACCAATTCTTTTCACCTAATAACTTTTCCTTAGAACCAAAACGTAACGTACGACCGTATCGTGCAAATAGAATAGCTGCTGAAGCGAATACCATCCATGCAAGAACCATTACAGTGCCATGAGCACTTTGTAATGTGTTTACTTGTAATGCAGCTTGGTTATCTCTGCGTATTCTCATCTTGAATATGAATAAGATTTTTGTCTTAATTTGATACTCATTACGTTCGTTTGATCGGTTAATGACTTTTATTCTTTTATTTTCATCTGTACTAGCTTGAAGCAAAGAATGAGTAAGACAAAATTAATGTATTTTTTTTTCTTTTCTTTGCTTATCCTTTCTGCAGATAACTTAGGATGACTCATCGCATAAATCAAACATGAAAGTCATGACTTATCCTGAAATTTTATATTACAACAAACATCGACTATATAAATAGATTATCGATCGTACGACATTGCCTAAAAATATCCTTGTGTTATTGATTGTCATGATTTTCAGCTTTACTCTTGAAAGAACTGAAATTATCGAACTAACACATATACCTCAATGTTGAAAATGATGGAGAAATGAAATATCTTTGTAGAATTGACAGTCGAAAAAAGTTTTCGATCATACGTGAAAATACAATAAATCATTCGAGAACTTTTCAATAATGTAACTGGCTGACGTTGTTACGAAAAACATGCTTATTACCTTTTTCGATTAATGTTTATCTCATGTTAAACAAAAACTAGGCGAGTAATCAGATTAAAATCGATTAAAAATTCATGAAAAAAATTGATTATAATCGATGAAAAATCTAAGAAAATTTATTAAAGATTTTACCATTTACTCTGAAGGAAAATCGATTAAAATGGTATTTTTTTTGCACAATGTTTAATCGATTATAATCGATTTAAATCTGATTATTCGCCTGATTTTTTATACATGGAATACGTCTTTAAAAGTTGTATAAAACTGATTGCATTTTTTTCAAATAAATATTGAAGACAAATTAAGAGAAAAAAATGGGATAAAATGATATTGTGCCTATTTACCGTACATAGTAATTGTTTGGTGGTCAATTAAATGTGCAAGATTGACAGATAATTTAATTGTTTATTCTATGGTTTCGCATTTGGAAAATTTAAACTTAACCGAATGTATTTATCAGCTTTAGAATTAATCTATTCTCTCTTCTTTTTCTAACTTGTAACTTTACCATCATCATATGTGAAGAACAAAAACAAAATATAAGCAAAGCTTACAGGCATGACAAAAACAAATAAGAATAAAGGTGTCATAAATGCATCATCAAAGCAAGACTTTTTCTTCGATAAAATCTATTATTTCTTACATACTTGCTTCTCTTGTCACACCCTATTCAAACAAGAGTGTATACAGACGTAGAGTATAGCTATTTGATTGTAGCATGATAATAAATATTATTTATATAAATATTATATGGAGCGTCCTCTTTATGACGGCAATGACATCATTAATAACGTATAACGTGCATAAATTGTATACTAATAAAATAATATGAAGAAAATGATCAATAATGCTTGAAAATTTGTATTAAAGAAAAAGCTTGTTTTTTTTAAAATTTTTATGTGTAATACGCAAGATCTGTCTTTTTTCATAAGACAAACATAATAAAACTTATCTCTTTATTTAATTTCTATCTTCTAAAATAATATGAATTAAAACAACATCACTTCGTGCTACAATGTGCTGAGTGCATAGAAAACTATTTATTGCGGCTCATCTAGATGTACATTATTTGATCTGATATAAAAAAAACCATGCTGCACTGACGAAATTGAGTATTGGCAGGAGAGAAATCTGCAATCTACCAGAGCCACATAATTAAAAAGAGAATAAAAAAAAATGAATCGTTGTCTTTAATATTTGGTTATTGAAATGCGATACAGTATCTTTGCAATTCATTTTGACTTGATTTCATTTCACCAATAAAAGCGATAGAAATACATGGGACTATATATTTTGTGTATGGTTCATCGAATTCTGACGTTTGTCCTGAACGGATGCTATTAACAAATTGTAGCGGTTGAGTATATAATGACTTCTACAATAATAGACTTAAATCTGTATTTTCCGATGATGCAATGCTAGATCAAAATGTTTGAAATCTCAATTTTGTTACGACAAGAATTAAAGAAGCACTATTTTGAGAATTTTGATGTAGCGTCTTAAGATCGCACTATAAATTTTGAATGGAAGAATCTAGCAATATTGACATTGCTTAGATTGAGAGTACTTGACTTTTGCTTTCAATTAAAAATGATTAAAACAAAAATGAAAAAAAAAGGTTTCTTAGCAAATCATTGTCAAGATCTCTGGTAAAAACTTATCTTGTAGATCAACTTCAGATTCATCAAAATTATTATGATTTTTATAGACCAACCAGTAGCTACGGGGACTCATTTTTTCGGGACTTATTTGGACTTTTTAATAAGTTCGTCAGCATTTTGGGATAACTCTCATACTGCTTCACAGCACATGAAGGTTGAGGGTGTAGTTGTGGGTGAAGGTAAAGGTGTCTTTGTACTGAAATAGCATGACAGCTAATAAATCCTTAATAAGTAAATAAGTTCCGAAGAAGAAATAAGTCCGGAAAAGTAAGTCTCGGTAGCTCCTCTCATATGATCTACATAAAAAAAAACATACACTCATCAAATTATAGCTTTGGAAAATAATTATCATTATTTCTGATCTTGTCGAGATAGATAATCTGCGTTAGAAGAGTACTTTCGAAAAACATTTTATAATCTGCTAGAAATTTTAACTTTACGTATTTTGTACTAATATCATGAAGCAGGTGTGAGTGTTAGCGTAGACCGGTCACACTTACATCCACCGATCCACAACCACACTCTCATACGACGAGTTGAGTGGGAGTTATTTCAATATTTTAGCCAAGAGACCGTGTTTTGAGCAAGACGCTAAAAAAGTTTTAGAAATGGGTTGTTCATGCAAATCCAGAACAAATCATATTACAATGGTGGTTTTTTTTAAAATTTATTCCAGTGGATCGTTTTAAAGTACTTAATAGATGAAGGTAGCTAACGCCGTCTGACATCCTGGTTAATATAAAAATGTTCTTTTTCATGGTAAATCAAGTAGCAATGTAGTTTTCCAGAATTGAGAAAATTTGCAAAACGACGAAAATTTCTTCGAAAATATGGTAGCGAAGTCAAAGTTTGATCTAATATAAGTCTTTCACAATCTGGTCATTTTTCAAAAAGCTATATATATACTGAAAGAAGAAGCTTTGCTGCATCTTCCTATGATAAAAACTCAATATCGATACTTTAATGTCTACAAAAGCAGAAAAGAAATAGTTCTTGTACTTCACGATTGACATCCCTGTTGGGACTGTGAATCAGTTCTCCTTTCTTATGAGTTATGTGAAGCTTAGTGTGTCCTTCTTTCATAGCAAAAGAATGCTACCGTTGAAGAATGAGGCCAGTTTTCCCTTGGCCTACATCATTAAGCTTGGATTTCGCAGTTTTACATTCAATACTGTCGAAAAAATTAAATCTAATAAATAATCTAATTGACAAGCGCAACATCTGATATATGCTTAGCTAAAAATGCAACTTTCCTTGAGATAAAAATAATTTGTGATGACGATTTGATTGTCACATTGAATTAGGTACCTGAAATCTTGTACGCTTGTCTTCATCCATACTATTTTTTTTGCTGAACTACTCTTCTACTCATTTATCGAGTTTTGTTTTTAAAACGATGTCAAACTCAAGCAATGACTCTATAGTTCTGAATTCAGATTCTTTACTGGAATTCAGAATTCCTCATTATATTCGATTTTGGTATTTCCTCATTTTTGACATATTATCAATTGTGGTCACTTTGTTTACACTTTACTATCTTCTTTCGGATAGAGCACTTCATCATGCACTTCATAATCATATTGTCATCGCTATTCTCTTACTTGTTCTTGTATACGAATTGACCAATATTCTCTTCTTTCTTCGCAATGATTACCATTCAACTTCTTGGTCAGCATCTCCTGTCTTCTATCTGTTTTGAGCTTTCCTCGACTACTCATGCTATTCATTTCAAATAGCTTTGTTTACTTGGGCCACAATTGAAAGACATATACTTATATTTCATGAGCAATGGATAGCAACAAGAAGACATCGTTTCTTGATTCACTATTTACCACCATATATCATTATAATTTATTATTTTGTTTATTACTGTATTGTCTATTATGAAAAGCCTTGTGGAACTCCATTCGATAGTTTCTTAGCCGGAGATATATATATATTCCGTGTGCATTCGATCGAACTGTATTAGCCACATGGGATCTTATGTTTCATCAAGTTGTTTCAACTCTTCTCATTATGATCGGTTGTATGGCTCTAGTTATTCGTGTAGTATTGCAGAAAATTCGTGCTTGTCAACCACTTCATTGGTGAAAACATCGAAAGATGATTCTGCAACTGCTCATCATTTCATCTGTCTACATTTTATTCTATCTGCCTTGGGTTAGTGTTATTTTTGCTTATCAATGTGGTTTGCCAGCAGAACTTGCTGTAGTGGGCATCATTTTCAGCAAATTTATCATATATAATAGAATCTCTTCCTGTCCATTTGTATGTTTCTCATCACTGCCGGAACTACGTAGTAAGTTCAAAAATCAGCTTACATCCTGGCGACAACAACGACGGGTTGGTCAAACCACATGGTCACGACTCACTAAAATCTTAGAACAACAGTCGCATGTATGCATCAATCTACTGTGAAATGATAACAGACTTTTCGTTATTGACTAAAATTCATTCTTGACATGAATATATTTCGTTTTTTTTTCACACGTCTCAACTAGAGAAACGCTTTATTATCTACTTGCTTGTGTTGTCATGCATTTGTATTGTTCTAACCTTTCCTAATTGTATCATGTCTTCTCATATACAGTGAACATTCTGCAATGCTTAAATATGCTCGTACAAATTTTTGCTTTTGTTATCTTAGCTTTATTATTGTTTGTGGATAAATTAACTTATCTATTATAGATCAAAATGCAAAAATCAGATTCGATTCGATCTCTATGAAACATCATGGGACATCCACATATTGCGTTTCCACTTCTATTATTGCTTTCTAAATAGATTAGTCTGATTGAAATAATTATTTCGTCCTGGTTGCACTTAATAATTAAGAACACATAACCTTGATGGTCATTAGAATATCGACAATAATATAAAGCGGGGACACCAGAGATGACCATAGAATAACTTTTTTTTTCTTCTGCCCTATTCTGCTGAGCGGTGGGATACGATAAAAATTCCCTAGCCGTCTTGTTCAGTATGACAGGGCAGAGCAGGGCATACCAAAACACTAGATAGGAAATACATCACATTTTCTATAATTTTCGATAAAGTGAAGCATATATTTGACCACTCAGCCATCTTATAATAAATTTATTTCATAATTTTCTCAAGCATCAGAATCCTATATCTGAATAAAGATAACTCAAGAAATAAAAAAAAAATCATTCTAAGTTACTATTTATATAGTACACACATATCGAAAAAAAAATACATATTCAATAATACGCGAAAAGAAAATGTTTCATCATCATTAGTATATAGTAGGTTGTGTTGATTGTGATGATGTTTCCAATTCCTCAATTTTCATAGAAAATAGTGAAGCAGAAAAGATTTTTGCAGAATATAGGAAAGTTTGGTTACATTTGAAGTAGCTTACATATCCAAAAATCGTTTTATATTCACTATTTTCATCTAGTTTAGTTGAAAATTCAAAAATATCCCACTAAGATGATAATACTCTTCATGCTTATGTATTTTTCATTTTCTGTGAAAAATATAACTGTATTTCACTGAGTTTACAGACTCTTCAGGCGCAGAAGATAGGTCTAGTAAACTCACGTATGATTTTGCTGAAAATCTGGTAGAGATATGAAAAAAACAATAAATGTAAACTAAAACTCAACTCGAGCACCAATGAACAAGTCGCAATCTGCAGTTTTGTTCATGCTTGTCTTATCTTACGTTTCTCATTTGAAATTCTTGTCGAACGATGCTAGAAATAGCACGCATTATCATCATAAAGGTGACACTCATCATTTTTAGTTGGTATAAGGTGTAATCGATGATGATAAATATAATAAAAATTGTAAAAGAAAAAGTTTTTGTGACGCAAAAGATCATTATGTCACATCCATCTTCTCCTGCTGATCGGCAATACAGAACAGGATACATGAAGGGTGTGGGTGTGAGTGTGAGGTGTGGGGTGTAAGTGCTAATGAAGTGGCATTCCAACCCCACATTCACCCACACCCACACCCACACCCTCTTCTTTTCTTATTTGTGTATTAATGAATAGTTAGAAGTTCGTAATAGTTTGAGCAAATGTTCCTAACAGAGACGAAGTAAGGGCGATTTATGTCATTCGACTGAGTGTACACTAATTCGATATTAAATCGTAAATATTTTTATAACAAACGAATTTCTGGAAATGTGCTGTTTCAAATAATATGATAGCGGGGTTACGCTACAAAGTACTCGAGAAATTATTGACATACGATAACCTTTTCTTTGTGTTGTTGTTAAAGACAAGCTTTTTTTGGAATGATTTTCTGTTTTCGTCCTTTAAGTTGGATATCTCAACACAAGCAAAACTCACTTCTCATGTGTCTTTAAATTACGACAGAACATGATATAATAAATCCAAAACGCCGCAAGGTCTCTGTTATATTCCTGACTAGAAATACTAAGGTCCTCTATTGTTCACCATACATAAAAATCCATTAAAAAAATAAAATGTATAAGTACAAAAAATAACTCAAAGCGCAGTTTCTATCGATGAGTACTGTAATTATTCGTATATTCCAGTTATTGTCACTATACAGAAGCATCCCAAACAGTATTATTCGATTCACACGTCACATAGCGTATGATCGTTTACCACATGTTTAGCGCGATCATATTCTTTCAATAGATGGTTAGCGACGCTTACGTCACATTACTTGTGCTTAAAGAAAAAGAACTTTCATTTATTTAGAAGGCAACCAAAATCTTGAAATTCTGAAATGAAGTGAAAGTAAGAATTTCATTTAGAAACAATTATAATTTATTTTTAATGATTGTTAAAACATTTGTGATTTTGAAGTAAAAACAGAAACAAAAATAATACTTTAAAAATGATTACATGAGTCTCTTTGAGAGTATTAAAATGACGATTAATAAGATTTTCAATCGTATTGATAATTTGTTCTTCCGAACACATATCAAACTAAATTCTTTTAGCGTTTTCAAGCATGTGAGGCAAATTGGTTGTGAAAACGCTGATAATATCGACCCTATAAACACGTACCAACAAAAAAAAAGAATGAAAAATATAGTTGTACATATGTACACGTTTACAGTAAAAATCATTTTAACGGATATACGGTATTTTCTTTTCATAAACGTTGATGCTCTCAAAAAAGCTTTTTTTTGACTGCATACACACATGTGCTAAAATTAGTTTCTCCTTTGATAAACCTGTAAAGATAATTATACGGATGCACTCATGCCTGCATAAGAACTACAAATTAAAATTAAAATTAATGCATAATATCCTACGTTTCAATAGAACGATAAATTCATCTATAATTAGAATGAATACAAAGAAAAAGAAATCAAACGGAATGAGAATCAATTAAAACATGATTAGTGGGCACATAGTAAAAGTTAAATACAAATAATAGTGTACGTCGTAAAGAGCTTTTCTTAAGTAAAAAAAAAAACAAAAAGATGAAATAATGCTTCTTGTTTAGTTTTTCTTCTTGTCATTCTCATCTTATATTCATTAGAAATAAATTGTAAAAATAAATAGAAAGGATCATAATTCTTCATTCATATTGCCTTATTCAAATGGAGACAGATACCTTTTTTTCAAAATATAGCTCTTCTGTCAATGAACGTGCTTCAATAGAATCATTATATCCAGAAGTATCTTTACCTCGACCAGTTCGATTTTGGCTTCTTCTTTTTCTTTTAATACCATCTGCCTTCTGCTCCCTCGTACTTATCTATTATTTAATCGTAAATCGAAATCTACGAAATTCATTGAACAATCATGTTATTATCGTTCTTCTTATCGTGAATTTTCATGCTCTAATCATTGGCTTTCCTATACAGCTCAATTTTCTACGCTTGGGACATGTATGGCCTGAAAAACCTATAACATGTCTTGCATGGCAGTTTGCAGATATTGGTATTTTCACTACAACGGGTATTATCATGGCTTGGGCTTCAATTGAACGGCACATTTTGATCTTTCATGATAAGTGGGTAGCCGGACGAAAAAAATGTTTTCTATTTCATTATCTACCTTTGGCTATAATCATAGTCTATGGTCTCATTTTTTATATTTACGTTATTTGTTTTCCGCCTTGTCAGAAGTTATTCGTCTATTCGATCAATTGGTGTACTATTCCATGTTTTACAACCGTACAGAGAATTACAATGTATGGTACAATAACCAATGCTATTTTAATGACGTTTATTATTATGTTCTTCAGTATGTCTCTTACTGTTCGTATTGTTCAACAAAAGAGACAATTATATCGACGTTTTCAATGGCGAAAATTTCGAAGAATGACTATTCAACTTATATCAATCTCGTCACTATTTTTTTTCTTTAGTTTGCCTACAGTAATTATTTCTCTCATTCGAGCTTACGGTGTGCCATACGATGCATTTGGGCAATTTCCATTATACCTTGCTTTTACGCGATATTTTCTTCCTCTTCTATTGCCTTTTGTCTGTCTTGGTTCATTTCCTGAAATTTCAACAAAATTGAAAAGATTAATAATATTTCAACAACACACCAATGTCATTAACGTTGCACCAGCATCTCTCTGACTGCGTTCTACATTGCATGCTTGAAATATTTCAATTAATCAGTGAACAGTGTAAAAGCACTCCTTCTCTCTCTTCACTTCCTAATCAAGAAATGTCTTTTAATAAACTACTCTTTTGAGTTCAAGAACATATTTTACACACCTTTGATCAATGATGCAAGTTGTTTTCATGATTTATCATTTCAAAGTTTTCAAGATATTAAGTATACTAGATTTTTCAATCTAGTCACAATTTTTTTTTGGTATTAACAATGCAATCGTACAGATCGAAAAACATGGTATTATTGCAATGCCCAAAACCAATAGGTTCTGAGCTGACAAAAAGAAAAGAAATGAATAATGAATTAACATAGAACATACTATACTAAATCGGGAAAAGTGTAACTATCGTTACACATGAATGTATTGGTAATCACAGATTGTGAGAATATTAGTTTCATTAGATAAAAATGTCATTCGTAGCTGATATACTCTGTGTTTAATAAGGGATAATTCATACAAAGATTTTAACTTAGTCAATGCAGATTGATTAATAAAATAAATTATCAAACACAATACGAAGAAAATAGCTGCAAGAGTGAATATTCTAAAGTTTTGATTTCATTCAAAAACCATTTTTAATACAATATAGCAAAGAATACTGTACGTAAACTGCATCACATCGATCTAATTCACTGGTCTCCATTATATTTTGAGTGATTTATTCCGTTATTGAGGATGCTTCAAGTATATCAAGATTGTTTTCGATCTAACTTAATGATTCCATCAGATGGTTTGTCTTGGTATCTATTCTAATGATCCAAAGATGACAAAAGAAATACATAATCTGCTCCATTATAACAAATTCTATGGTGAGTTTAATTTTAATGACAGGTATCTTTACCTTAAGATATGTTAAGCTTTCCATGAGACGTTTCGACTATCGTTCAAATAGCTATTATCAGATATGTTTAAAATCTATGAGTAGAGTGAGAATAAATACTTAAGCCACCTTTTGCGGTAAGCTATTTTGGTCAGAATGATTTTTTAAAGTCATTCAAATAGTGATCTCTGCAATTCTAAAGTTGAGATGTCAAATATTTCATAAATTCAGCTATCTAAGATGTTTTCATACTAACAATTTTACTTCAGCCGACAAAATTTCAAGGCACATCTCATAGTTTATTAATTTTTTGCTATTAGTTAACTGGCTGTGGGTGTAGGTGATTATTGATTCAATGCGCACACTCACACCCATACCCACACTTATATATCGCTAGTTACAACGGAATAAAGAAAAGAAAAAAGAGTTATTATCATGAAAAACTGGTGTGATGTAGATGGCATCCTTCCATTGACTCTTAGGAACCTTCTGGAAATCATGAGGATTTCTATGGAACTGAAATGATTCTTAAGGAGTTCAAGGAAATTCTAGAATATGTAGAATATTTCGGAACTTCAGAATTCCAGGATTCTGCGATTATTCATCCCTTGACGAAAACTCCTATTGAAGATTCAAAAAAAGTTCGTTTCATCTCAAGGCATGGGGGTCTCTGACAAAGTTCAAACAAATTTTTAGCTACTCGCTGTTCTCGAGATCACAGCGACAGTTTTTTATAAAAAAAAGCACGCAAATTATTAAAGTTGAATATATATGCGACCGATAACATAAATGCTATGCTTCGCATCGGTTTAATAATGCGACATTTAAGTAGCAACAAGCAGAGACCAATCAATGCCTTGTGCTTAAGCGCCTTTTTCGCTTCTTTCGTTTGTTGTCGATATGATGAATAAGACTAGTATCGCTCTAGGATCTCTAACGAAATGAAAATTGGCATTGATCGATATTATTTGTAATGCTTACCTATTCAAGTGCCCTACCTCATCATTAATTATTCTTTTTCTCGAGCGCATATGCTACAGATTATTTATCAAGAGAAAGTGACGAGTGTAGACATAGAGCAGCGCAAGGAGTATTTTACTTCTACAAAACACATACACATACTCCTTTTCTATTTAATACTTAATCGAACGAAGACTGAGTAAAATGCGATTTTGGCTTATATTCATTCTCATGATCAGTTTTGCTGACTCTAAGTAAGGAAATTATTCCATCCAACTCATATAAAATATGTTTTTTTTCGTAATCCGTTTTAGATTTGAGTCGTCATTCAATCAAAATAAAGATGAACCTTGTAAGCCATTAATAGATGATTGTAAACCTGGTTTGATCTGTCGCCTGTCAGCAACGTGCTTGGTCATTAGTCGTGGAAAGTACATGATGTGTTGTCGATCTTATTAGAGACATGGAAAATGAAACTGCAATGCTTGATACTCTAGAAAAAATTGATTTTTAATTCAATAAACCGAATTTCGTTTCTATTGTCTTCATGAATAGCCACATTTTCATATGTATTTTTTTTTCAATATTTTGAAAATAAACAATCCATATGATTAAGATCAATTTGAATATGACACATGGTAGTTAATCTATCGAAGTCTCTTATCATGGTGACTGTAATCTATCAATAGTTGTTGATAACCGAAAAACGTTATGCATTTCAACGAATAGTTCTATCAGAGAAAACTTCTGTTCCAGACCGCTGTCAATGACTCGAAATAAAAAGAAACGATAAATAAAAAAGAAGTAGCCATCATCTGCTTTTCAAGATACGGATAAGACAACGACTAGTTATTAGAATTCAAAACGCGAAACAAAAGAAAAGGGACAAAGAAAATGTTGATGAAATCAATCGTCATATTAGTGCAATGAATTTCAGTCTATTGGTTGTGCATTTTATGTGATGCATTTCTTCAATTCGTTGATTTTCTTAGATCTAGTGTTATTCCTGACATTTTTCGACTGAAGCCAAGTGTTTTTTTCATTTTTGTAAAATGCAACTATGAAACCTTGAACATCTATATCTAGATGTGTGGTTGTGCGTGTGGGTTTCGCCGTGAGTAGGATGTGAGTAGGACTAGGGCATGGGGATGTATGTATATGCATCGCACCATTTGAAAGAAAAAAACCACACCCACCATATTATAGTACTTAAATCATTATTTCCAACAAATTATCAATCATTACGATATAAATTAGGTGGTTTACTGAATCGACATATTTTTCCATTTACAGGTCGTCGCGATATGAATTTCAATAATAAACAAATAAATCAAATTTTTAAACATTTTCAACAAGGATTACATAATTGTGATATTATATTGACTTCATCAGAAGATATTCTCTCATTCGATTTACTCACTATTGATAAATGTCGAAAAAATGAATTCAATGTTGGTCGTTCTATGTTAACGATTCAACGATGGTTAAAAAAGTATATTCGTGATGTATTAGATGAATCTGATGAAATTTTACATGTCAAATATCAATTAACTTATACTGTTGGTAGTCAAGAGCAAGTTGATGGAGGTACAGAACGTTGGAAAACTATTCAAAAAATTCTTGAATTAGTTAAAAAACATTCTGCTAATATTTCAAAATGTTTCAGCGAAAAAGTTTGTTATAAACCATCTAAACGAAACAGTGCATTTCCACAATTTCGTTTACAATCGCATGGACCATATGCATTACTTTGTCAAAAAATTTCTAACGACTGAATCGATAGTAGAAATTATCATTACACTGATAAAGCAATCATCTTAACAATTATCCTAGAAACACATTCATCAGTTGAACATCTCATTAATAAATTTACATGTATTGATATTCAATTATTTCTCATTGTTCATGGTTTATTATCATTAGAATTTTTATTAGTTGCTTTTAGAAAACGATATGGAGTTAATTATGGTGTCAATCCAAGTCTTTCTTTTAATCGTTTAATGGCTGTACCATTTCGTGCAAAGGATGTTGTCGCTGATAGAACTGAATTTAGCCATCCGGATGTTGTCTTAGTATTAACATAACTTTCATATTATAATTCAGGTTTAAATAATTCACAATTATTTCAATGCTTCAATTGTTTAAATGAAGAAGAAACTGATCCGACATCGATTTATGATCAATGGGTATTATATGAAGATGAAAAAGATGTCCCAAAAAGTATTCAACAATGGATTGGAGTTAATTTAAAAGATTATCAACAACGCATTGATCATCTCTTTTCTACTTTCCGATATAATATGATAGTTATTAATTATTTCCGTCATTATTTTGTATTTCCTCGAGAAGCAAAACAATTTCTATATAAATTAGTTACTTCTGCTTGGGATTTATCGTCCTCGTTACGATCAAAAATAATAACTGGATTTAGCGGAACTAATGATACACAATTATTACTTCCTGTTCATATTCGTCAATATGATTTACCAGAACTTCAAAAAACAGATACAATTGTTGTTAATAATTTATTAAAAAGTAAAAATGAAAATTATCAGTTTCTATACCCATCAATGTAACATCAGAGGATATTTTAAAATAAATAATAGACTGCCAAAAAACTATTCATGTTATATTAGATGTTGGAACATTATTTATTGATGGAACTAATCGAGACATTGCTGTTAAGTGGTTGAATCAATCTGATAAAAATAAGATCGATTATATTGTTTATTTTGATTTCGATTCTATTATTGCCTGTGATCGTCAATTGCATCTTTATGCATTAGTAACATTTCCTGCGAGTGAACTATTAGATCGTTGTATATTTTATTCAGATGATAGTTCATACCCGAGGAACTGATTTTAAATTTCCAATGGGATTTAAAGTTGCTATTACATTAGGAAATGGTTTAACAAAAGATCGTTTTGTTCAAGCACGTATGAGAATGAGAAAATTAGGTACTGGTCATTCGTTAATATTCTGGAGTTCATATGAAGTTCACGAACAAATAAAAACATTAAAAAACACAATCTCGGAATAAAAATGACTTTATTAAGTAGATTGATATTCTTCGTTGAGTCTATGAAAACACTCAACAATCAACTTGGGATGGTTTACATCATTGGGTTACACACAGTTTAAGTTTTCAAAGAAAAATTTCTGCATTTCGACGTATCAATTGGAATGATGATCAACAAATATTTACAGATATACTTATGCAAGACTTAGCTAAAGAATGTTCTGAACCTGAAATAATTGAACTTACAAGCAGAGCTGGGCAAGTACGGACTTTTTCGAGTACGAGTACGAGTACGAGTACCAACCCCTCGAGTACGAGTACCGATCCCTCGAGTACGAGTACGAGTACGAGTACCGACCCCTCGAGTACGAGTACGAGTACCGACCCCTCGAGTAAGAGTACGAGTACCGACCCCTCGAGTACGCGTACGAGTACTGCGAAAATCGTGCTTGAGAAAAAGAAATTTTGATACATTGAGATCATATGCAACTGTTTAGCAACATAATCGTTAAAAAGAATTGCGTGTAATTCTACATTAAATCAAGCGCGTAAGAAATCAGCTATTCTGTTCATCTTCAAAATTCAGATGAATAAGAATACCCTGCTCTTCGGCTATCTTAGGTTATAGGGTGTCCGCAGGTGACAGTTCCGTAAGCCCGATATATTTCCTACAAACACTTAGTAATAACTGCGGCTCTCGGCAGAAGGCCGACTTGACTCGGATTCCTTTCAATCATTCACTTGAATTTTTCGCACAGACTGCCTAGCTAGATGTTAACCGCAATGATCGGTGTGTGTCACAAGATAGTTAGTATAGTATTGTGCGCTTGACTCGAGACAAGAAGCGGCGAAGAAGCACAGAAAGAGGCACTTGGTACTTATCTGATATAATACTGTTTATCTGAAAATACGAAAGCGGATGAGAGCGTTTTTTGTCTTCTCAATGTTTAATTTTTTGTGTTGAAAGCAATAAAGCAGTGACAATCGATAATATCGCAGATATTTATTTCAGAACATCTCGTAATCAGTTTTTCGAGTAGGGAATTGCAAAGTGATTCCGGTACCGGTCCAGACGGGACCTAAAGCTTTTTAAGCTGCTTCCGGTGTATTTTTTATGAAGAACTAGACTATAGATTTTCATGCTTCTTGTTTGATGGCGACTAAGAATGCGTAGATTTGCCATTTTTATTTATCATTCCGATACGAGTCTCTCATTGATCTCGATTCTGATTTCAACACCTGAGATTTTTCGATGATATGTATAGGTTTTTACATAGGCGTACTCGTACGATATACACATATTTGGGTTGATAGAAATTCAACCATTCTTTTGATTGTACATTTTTTGTCCTTCTTTCACTGTTTCTAGTATAAACTCTTAAGTGTTGTTGGGATACTTCTCTATATTTCAAAATGGAACTTTATCACTATTTGGGAATACGAGCAAAAATGTAAAAGTTTAGGCTTAATTTTGCTAGAAATCTTTTGTTCTTATAAAAATTATCGGGATCAGAAGCAATAGAAAACTTTAACCAGATCTAGGACCGGAACCAATAAAAAATTTTGACCGGATCTAGGACCAAGACCTGGACAAGAAAAAATCTAACCAAGATCGAAATCGGGACCATCAAAACAAATTTAACTGGTAGCGAGATCAAAGAAAAGCGATTTTTCAGGGGCCTATTTTCGAGACGAAATCGTACTCTCCAAAGAGATGATCGAAAGCTATACCATTCTTCCAAGCGATACGCCTGCGACTTAAAAAAGGGATTGAGAGATATGCAGAATAAACTGTTGCAGTGGTATTAAAGGTCGCCACTGAATTAATCTCAACATTAAATGCTGAAATATTTTGGGACGGAGAAACAGCCGTGTCAATCCTCAACATTTAGAGCACTTCAAACTCAAGTACGTGTGAAAATACATGCACGAGTACGTGTACGAGTACCAACACTCTCGAGTACGAGTACCAGTACGAGTACCGACCCCTCGAGTACGAGTACCAGTACGAGTATCGACCCCTCGAGTACGAGTACCGACCCCTCGAGTACGAGTACGAGTACGAGTACCAACAAAATCGTACTCGAGTACGAGTACTTCGAGTATTTTGCCCAGTTCTGCTTACAAGTATGTATGGATCTTCGAAAAAACTTCAAACATTATTCGAAATTCATCATAATCGATATGAACAAACTCATCATAATGTATCGAAAGAAATTAAAGATACCGTATTACGACGATTGAAATATTATGGTGAAACAAATCAACGTTTATTACAATTATTAGATGAAGAGCAACAAAGAGAATTAGAGCAAGAATTAGAAGAAGAAGAACGTCAATTAGAGCGTCCATCACTTGTTACACCGTGTCAATCTAGACTTCATGAAGAAATAAAAGAATTGTGTGATATGCATAGTCCTATGATGAATTTAAAACAACATCCTAAAGTATTTTGTCATTTATCTTATGTTTTTACTGGTACGACATTTGTCAATGATTGTCAAGCTAATAGTTGGCAAGAAAATTTTTGGATTTCAACTGAATTTCAACGTGTAATTACGACTAAAGGAGAATTATTAAATTAATTTTTACTTTCTCCACGATGGATTATTATCTATCGTAACCAACATTTTATTTTTCTAAGTGCTTTAGAAGCTAATTGGGTGCTCGGTCGTTTAAGGCTTCTTTATTATCAACAACAATCGAATAATCCGTCGATCACAACATTACATTTATTATTACCTCGTATCAAACGAGTTCAATCGATTTTTGTTAACACGTCAAGTCTTACAATTCCTCCATTAATTAGACATCTTAATGATGCTGTTTCTTTCTTCCTACCACTTGAATGGTTAGTTCAATTATTTATTTTTAACGGTATTATTTATTTGGAAACAGTTGATGAACAAATAGCTTATTGTCAATGTTTAAGTTTATGTTCAAAACTTCGAACGGTGGAAGAAGAAGAAGCATTTAAAAATGGTTGGATTGCTGTTGATGGCTTTGTTAGTAATATTGAACATCGTCATTATTTGAAAATGCATAAAGTTCGATTCCATCGTAATTTACTAATCTTTGTCAAACAAAAGATTGAAAATCGAAATAATTTACATGCACCTATAACATCACATGTTGGTAGTATTATTCTTAATTCACTTAAACTAATTTAATCATGCGAAGATTGAACATATTATAAAAATATTTAAGCCAGAGAAGAATTTTTTTTCATAATTTAAATGAAATCCTATTAAGTGAAAGAAATAAACACAATAAATCATAAAACACAACTCATTCAATGATAGTCTACTTCTTCCGACTTGTAATGAGTGTAAAATATGAAAGTACAACGAGTCGAGTCGTATGGGACAAATGACTAAAATCCATACAGGCTTTATTCTATACATTGTTGAAAAAAAGATATGGTGATGAATCAAAATTCTTTTTCAATTACTAAAAGATCAACGATGGATTCTTTGTGTGATCGAATTTTCTAACAATCTAATCTATATTTCTCCCGTATCTGATTGTTATTATATTTTACGCAAAACCTAAAGAACAGAAATATTTTAATAACGGATTTTTGAATTTAAATTTTTACTCATATAATGGATTTTCTTTTTTAGTTCTCTATTAGTTGAACGAATAAAACTATTTTGGAATAAGTGATATTTTCTAATGAAGCTTAGACTTAAACATTTAGATACATTGTCCAAAGAAAAGAATGGCTGAGATGACGTAAATTTTGTTGGATATCTAATTTAACATTCAAACGGTCAGCTTTTCTGTATAAAATCAGCTAAAAACTACAAACGTTCCCTATGTTAAGCATTTAAAAAATCAAATTATTTTTTCTATCTAGTAGCGACATCTTGCCCTTGAATATTTTGTATATGATAAACAGTGAATCGAACCGATTTTCATTAGGTCAAGCTCGGTTCGGATCGACTCGAACCGAACCAAACTGTAATAGTTTGACTCGACTCGGTATGTTCTCTGATCTAATATAACCGATCAATTACCGTTTGATAATCACCCACAGCATCACAACTTCACAAACAAGTTCATAGCTCAATTAATTATGTTTCTGATAGGTTATGGATGTGGGTGTGGTTGTGCATGAGCGAGAGCTATGGATCCACACCCATCCCATTTCCAAATGTCCTTTCAGTAAAAGGGTGTGACTGTGGATGGATGCTGCTTATCTTTTCACCCACCCACACCCACACCCTCATGTAAAGTGAGTAAGTCTAATGCTTTATTTCAAATACATGATAAACTAAGATATTTTTTTTGACATGATTCGTGACAAAAAGAAAACTTAGATACTAGTGGATAGAGAATTTATCTGAATTTGGAGAGATTAGTGACATTTATGTTATGAAGGGTGTGGGTATGGGTGTGCATATAGGTGCGGATATTGATCGAGCTGATAGAAGAACACGACCTGGACCTACAAACACACCATACACCCACATCAACCCACACCCACACCTTCGAGTGATGTAATCACATAGCACAGTGAAGGTCGCTACAGTCAGTGCAATGTCTTGATTTCATCATTTTTTCGCGTTTACTATAGCGAAGTGCTTGGTAGTATGATGTAATCGTATATTTGGTTTTAACCGAGATAAGATAAAAGATGTAAAAGAAACATAAGAGTCTAACAATACTTTCTTAGATAATATATTTTGATAACTCTTCCCGAATTTCATAAGCAAACCGTAATAAATAACGTTTTTGTATACTGTAGTCAGAATTTTATTGCAAAATGATGAACCGGGAAACAAAACAGTAAGAACATGAAATTTGCATGAATAGATATGTATTTTGGAGGTGCTGTCAAATTTTCTGTTCCCTTTTGTTAAATACTATTTACAATACCTGGAGAAACGAATCGTCGAGTTTTTTCCTTCTCGCATGACTCCTTTGCCAGCGTATGCTGAACACATTGGGTGTGGGTGTGGTGTCGTCTAAAAAATGGCCAACAGCCGACGGGAAAAAAGTGGATTTTAAGATTTCAAAATGTTTCAAAGATTTTAGAAGATTTTAGATCTCAAAATCTGCTTTATTCCCCTTGCCAATATCCACATCCAGACCGTAGTTCATACCAACTGTCAACATTTAGATATATGCTCTGACAAGTTAATTTTATTTCTCTTTCAAAGAATACTCATTTCTATAATCGGATTATTTTGAATTTTAACAACGACTGCTCTTCTGTATCCAACAATATTCCTGAATACAATCTAATAATAGAAACAAATTCATTTTTACTGTAGAGACTGGAATTAGAGTGGATGTGAGTCTTAGTCTTGTTTTCAACCACATTCACATGCACATATGCATTGCAAAATAGCTCATATTACTTTTGTTTAGACAGTGCAAGAGTGATGATAGCTATGAATTATGTTGTATAATGTTGAAATGGCTTTATTTTATTGAGAAAATTGCAAAAGTAGTACATCAAAATAATTTCTAGTTTCTGTTGCAAAATGCGTGAGATAAACTTTATGATTATTTTTCAGTCAAACTGAGGTATATAGGGAAAATGACTTTTTGTCTCACTTTTTCATTACGAACTCCGGTTGAAATAGTCCGTTACAATCTCCGGACATAAGAAAAAAGACAGGGTGTTCAGAATAGAGTTCTTAATGGCAAAAGTCAATGAAATATAAGCAAAAATAGAATGTTCGGAGTGAACTGTGTCCAGAAGTTCGAAACAAACTCTGACAACCCATTGTTAGTCGTTGAATAGCGAATTTTGGACTGGAGATCGAAATGAGAAAGTTCGAAATGACAAAGATAGAGTGATGATAATGAAAGTTGCAGATTGTTCAGAATGAAAAAGGCAGCATTTTCGTGGTTATGTTGAGGTTTACTGACCTTTGGGAGAATGTGAAGTGACATACTTCTCTTACAGTCTAAGATGGTGCATAAAGAACGTCTCCATGAATTCAAGCAGCCAAGATTGCTCTTCTTTTTATCATTCTAATTCTACTGTTAGTTTTTATTCTCATTATTTTTTACATACTCTTCGTTATAAATACCAAGTTTTTGGAAAGAAAAGAAAGAAATATTTATTCGTAACTCTAGTGTGAATATACATCATCATCATTATATTTTCTTTCTCCAACAGCTAAGAACAACTACAACAAATAGTCGCATTTTATGAAAATCGTGGCGATTTTTGCAATTTTCAACTAAACCGGCGTAAACTCATGATTACTTGCGTTTCATGAAAAAATCAGTGATTATATCAAACTTTATTCCGATTCTGATGTAAGAAACGATTTTTCGAAAAATCATTGATGAACCAGAGCGATAAATCATCGCATGTAACCACTGATTTTAGTAGCTCATTAAGAATTGAAACTTAATTAGAGAAATTTTCGAAAATTTATGAAATTAAGAGATACATATAATATCTGCATATTGTTCAACAATAAATCTAGGCATTATAGACTAAAAGACAGGCTTAATTTCGGCATGGATGTCATTACTAGGACATTCTTCAATTGCAGATGAGTCGATCAATTCTAGATTAATGTGAAATTGAAAAACTTGTGTTTATTCCTTAAGATGATGTCGTCTATTTTCATTGTGTTTCGTTCTGCTTTTTAATTATCCTTTCTATTCGATTCTCCGTTTTAAATATTAAATTTATTTAAAAAATGAATCTTTCGAGTGATTTCAGAGAAATGCTCAAATCAAAACATCAATTCGTACACATGAACGTTTTTTTACGATTTTTTCATTTGACTATGAGAAATTGCATGCGGTACTAGTATTTTTCATTTGTATTACATGTTTTATTCGTGTAGAATAATTTAAACTGAATTTTTTAATAAAATATTCCTTAATATAAATCAGTAATAGGAACTTATTAGTATAATAGCAAAGATCAAAATTACTTCTATCATCGATATAGTGAAGGATAATAATCGCCCATACAATCACGATTTATCACTAAAATCTTCAGAAGAATGGGAAAAAAATCGGTGATGTATTGCGTTTCAGCTCACAATTATCCTTTCAATTTATCGTGATTAATCGCCATTTTTTTCAGGATTTTGAGGACATGGGGTTGTTCTTTAAGAAAAAAGAATAACTGCAAAAACACGCTCTCTTCTTCATGAAAGACTACTTTTGAAGCGTACGCTCTTCATATCATTACGACGATGCAGCTTGATTCATCTTCACCACTGAATCAGTTGTATCACCAATTATATTTGAAAAAAGAGACTTTTTATTACTTACATTGTATAGTGTTGCATTTCTACAGAGACCATTATCATATATCAGTATTATGAACAGGTTAAAAAACGAAAATTAGAAACAACCATTATAGTTACTAAAGTATAGAGAACAGTGATAGAGAAAGAAAACCGCCTATCCATAAAATTATGCATATACTAAGTAAATCTCCTAGTGAATTCTTTTACGAACTCTCTCTCAATGTCATTCCATTCTTTTGGCTTTTTTTTCCCGTAAAAAGTACTCTTAAACATACATTCCAAGCATCCGACCTTGTTCATTATGATCTCCGGTCGCTACATCAGATATAGCAAGGAGCATTCTATTCTGAACAGCCAGTCAAACCATTTCGATTTTCCTGCTTTTTCTATTACGATCTCCTGTGCATATATGTTTATGAACTTCGGTCATAAATCTTAAAGGACAAAACTTCATTTCCGAACATCCAGACGCATGTCCGGACTTCGAAAGGGAGTAAGATAGAAAGTCAGTCAATCGGTACAGAAACGCGTTAGTGTTCAAATGCCAGTATGAAAAAGGTTTCATTGTCGCTGTAAATATTTATGACATGCCAGCAAAAGGAGAAGCTTTTTTTCCTCACATTATATATAAATGAGTCATTCTTGTGTAATCACCGACATCGATACCAGAAACAGAAACGATGAAAAACAGTGTCATACGATCTTATCGTCTCAAATATTTACATTTGATTTCAAGCACATGTGTGCTTTATAAAATAACAACAACAACAACAAAAGAAAAATGTTACTACTAACAATCATTGTTGGTCTGCTATTTCTAATAATCGTGTATGTTTATCTCAAAAATGTGTACTTTACCTTACGTGGATCATTACCTGGTATGGCACCACAATTTCTCTTCGGCAATTTGCAACAAACGGGAGTCATCTGGCAAGGCGAACCACTGCCTAATGTACTACGACAGTTTCAAGATAAATTCGGCGATGTCTTTCAATTTTGGTTTGGTCCAGCTCGTATGGTTGTTGTATGCTGTCTGGAAGATGTACAACACATATTTTCCCATCGACATGAGTATGATCAAGCAGAAGTATTTGATGAGAAACTGAAGTTCATCATGCCGAATTCAATCTTTTGTCTCACAGGTTAGACACGAAGCAGTCATGTGTTTGAAGTCATAACATACAAAACCTATTCTATTTAGGGTCCAAATATAAGCGTCACGCATCTATTACTCATCCATTATTTCGTCGTGGTAAAATTGTCAACCACTTGGATACAATAATAAATTGTACAGATAAATTGCTGACTCGTTGGCGAACGAACAACAGCGACCCAAAGTACATTCATTTAAATATGTTTGAACAACTGCAACAATTAGTTCTTGAGACATTCAGTCTGATGTTTTTTGACTATTCTCTCCAGACAATGGATAATCAAGGAGACAAGGATACGAATGAATTTTCTCATGCATTGTACACAGTGCTGGACGCGATTGTGACTGTAATAAAAATGCCGACACTCATCGGTCGTCTTTACTTGTTACTTAATCTCAAATATCGACGATCACGTGACCTTATTAATCAACACTTACATCATATGATCGAACAAGAGTTCCAAGAGGCACCAATGATGAGAGCTGAACGCAAGAAAATAAGTTTGATTGCATCATTAATCGCTTCATTACAACAAGATGAAAAACTTGAAGCGTCAAAGACTGAAGAAGACAAAAAAGGTAAGTCTAGTACATTATTCAGAAATGCTCTACTTGCAAAAATCAGAGAGAGGATGAATACAAGTACGGCAAGTAAAAGTCCAGTACTTGTACTTAACTGATAAATGTCTTGGTCCTATCTCTGCTAAAAACCAACTCAGCCCGATTCTTTCCAAGTTTCATGTCAAACATTAACCGAGAAATTTGTGCAGGGTGGTCCATAAGTATAGCTTCACAATGAAAAAATGAATATCTTTACTCTGTTTCAACCAAAGGAGCTTATTGTTTTAATTGATGACCGAAGATCTTTCAAAATTGTTTTTTTTTTATTACAAATTATTAACACACTGAGGATTCTAAAAGCTGCTTCTGAAAAGAGAACCCTGATAAATTCACCAGTCTATCTAAATAGGCTAATTTTTTTCTCTAACTATCAAGGAATGTTCCCCGTATAATTCGTTTTGGATAAAACAAAAAGCTCTACTATTTAAACTTGTCACACAAGAGCATGATTTCTTTTGCAATCTGTATCAGTGATATTTCCTTAGTGAAGCCAATAGTAAAAGAGCAAAATATTTTTTTGCTAATATTTTTCTTATGAAAAAGCTTTGGAAGATTCTCTACCATCAATAAAAAAATCAGTTCGTTTGATTGAAACAGAATGTAAATATTCAATTTCTTTTATCGCGAAGCCTATCTTTGGACTATTCTATATATGAGCTTCTATTGACAACCGATCTAAGCACTGTGTCTTCTGTTAAAAATCGGTTTTTTACTTATTTTCTCTTGAATTTTTAGGACTTTCTCGTGCTGAAGTACTGGACGAGATGCTGGCATTTCTCATGGCAGGCTATTCGACAACAACAGCTGCACTGACCTGGTTTATTCATTTGGTCAGTGTACATCCTGAAGTGCAGAACAAAATCAAGAAAGAATTGGCTCAGTATAATATGCAATCACTCTCCGTCGAACAACTCGATTCCTTCAGCTATTTGGATTGTGTTCTTCGTGAAGTATTTCGCTTTGTTCCACCTGCTTTCGGTACACTACGCACACTTACTGTCGATGATCGATTGCCATCGACGGGAGCTGAATTGAGAAAAGGTGATCTCGTGTTCATTGCCATCCATAACATGGGACGAGATAGACGTTATTGGTCAGGACCAGTTGATCCTGATCAATTTTATCCTGAACGATTTCTAGTAGAAGGTAACGATATCAATAATAACAAAGCAGCATCGATTCCATTTGGTGGCGGTCATCGTCAATGTATTGGTCAAGATTTGGCTCGATTTGAAGTGAAGGCTATTTGTGCTCGACTCATGCAACGTGTAACATTCGGTGATGGTGGACCAGAAGTCAATTCCGGCGAATATGCGGGTGATGGAGGGGATGCAACCATACCAAAACGAATGGGTGTCACAATCACATTCGACTCTGATTATAGCACATAGAAAGCATTTGTGCAGTTTTGTCTCAATTTTATATTTCACTATCTGCAGACAAAATAAAGCTAAAACGAATTTCTGCATTACATTCAACAACAAAAAAAATGAAAATAGGGCAAAGGATTACTGTTAATTACTATTATTACTGGAAAGCGACAGGAATGAAAATTAACTCTCGATATCTAAATAGTAATCTTCAGATCAGTTCCATGGTTGTTTCGCCAAACGTCGAGAGCTTTTTGATATAGTTCTTGAAGGAATTGCTCACACAACTGCATTGAATGCTGTCGAGTAAGACTGTACCAGAGAGTGGTAGGTACATTGAATACTTTTGCTGCTAGTCTCAATGCAGGCAATAGTACATAGAAAACTCGCATGAATTACTTATTTGTTCGTGAAAATTTTCGAAATCAGATCGTGTTCATTCTCATACACCGCTCATGTCTTAATGCGCGAAATAAGCGAAGTAGAACCTCTTACTCGTACAGAAGCGGATGGCTGCCTTTTCTCGAGAATTAAAAACACTGACTCCATATATCATAGATTAGTGTAATTAGTAGCCAGAAGAATACGTTCCCCCCGATACTGATTCAAGATGAGGCCAATTAATGATAGATGATTAGTAAAGGTGAGGATGATTCTTTCGACAGTTTATCACAATTGCATCGACTTCATCTGAATGAAATGAAACTTTTGGAACTAGTAGAACTTGATATCCTGATCTTAAAAGCCAACTTCAAAAAGGGTGTGAGTGTGGGTGGGTGTGGGGTGTGGGTGTGGGTATGGTGTATGAAGGTATATAATACCCACAGCCACACCCACACCGCAACCACACACCCACGCCCACACCCAGACGCGCACCCACACCCCCACCCCCACCACACCGACACACCCACGCCCGCACCCACACCCAGACCCACACCCCCACCCCCACCCCACACCCGACCCAGACCCACACCCACACCCACACCCTTCTTGAATGATAATACCTACGACATGTTGTAAGTTCTATTTTGAAGGACAAGTGAAGTGAATTGTATTTTTCCATTTTTAAAATCAACAATTATATTCAGACGGTTGATATATTGGAACAATTGCTTTCACTTGGTAATTTCTGCATAGTTTGATAATGGTCGACTTATCTTGCAGAAAAGAGAAAGTTCATCGGACACAATCTGCATTTCTATTTTTGGTGCCGGAGATAAGGAAGAACTTCTAGAGGCTCGACTACAAGACACAGTTGCCACATTGAAACTTAAAATTTTGATTTATTTTTCAATTCTATCAGACGATTGTTTTCTTGCTTTCCGTGACCAGTCGTTGTACGAGCAGCAGACATTGATCTAGCAGAGTCTGTTGCCAATTGTAATAGAAGGCACAAATTTTTATCAAGAGTAAATGAAGTCATCTGAAGAAAATAGAAAAATCGTATATTGTCAGATGAAAAACTCTACTCATCGTCTGGCAGTGGGTGTGACTGCAAATGTGAGCACTCTTTGAATCCAAAGCAACACATACCCACGCCCACATTCTCATTTCAATGTGTTAGAACTTCTGATGTGCAGCTGAATAACAAACTCTTGAGAAACAAAAGCAACAAAATGTGTCCTTGTACGATGAACGTAATAATACAAGCACATCGAAGAAAAAAATATATGACAGAACTGTACTACCAGGAAATAATAGGATAAAAGATATTAAATGTTTATTGTAATATTCAAATATTTAACGAGGTACGACTTAGTGAAGTTTGCATGTGGGTGTCTAGTATAGTCTCATAATCCCGTAATATCGATCGAAGTTCACATTATCGTTCGAATTGTGAATTAATGTTTTTTTAATTGAGCCCTCAATAGAACGGCGAAAAAGAAAAAAACAGTTCTCTCTATGCGTAACGGCGAATAAGGGTAATTTTTTTGTTTCTTTGCATCTTATCAGTGACTGTCTGCTCGTCACATATATGACAGTAACATCAATTTGATCTATAAGCCTGGTGGAAAAGTGAGGATATAAGTGTGGGTATGATTGCAGTTACCAATAAAAACAAGACACATCACACCCACAAACCCTTGATCAGTTGGTGGCTCTAGCTAATCGGTAGTTTTAATTTTAACAACAAGAATCAGTGATTCATTCTGAGTACTGTAGTAACGATAGTGACCAGAACTATTTTTTAAGGTGTGATCATGATCAGACGAAACAGGATGAAGGCCATCGGTGAAACGCCAGTAACGATCAGTTATAAAAATCGACGTATAGTGTTTCGAAACATATCAAATCATATAGGATTGGTTGTACGAAAAAGTACGGATGATGAAGAACAGTAGAGACAACATGATGATAGTTTATAGTGTTAATTTGGCGACAACTTTATAAATGATGTTAAATGCAAAATATTACAAACGAGTTGTGCAAAAACTTACCTTGAAGTAATAGAAATAACATATAAGAAAGACAATAACGCAGTGCTCGCCGTTCCGGAATACTGAAGAAAATTTCATCAAAGAAATATGAGAAGCTGTAATAATAATTTGAAAAAGGAGATCGGATCGTGCGAGCAGCTTATTTTGAATGCCAGATGGTAAGGCAAGATTATGGATCGTGAAAAGATCCACAAATATTTCGAAGTATTTTTTCGTGATTTCTCTTTATGTGCTCCAATTGCCGGTGTTCTCTGCTTTGCTCTTCCTAAACAACTCATTCAGTATACAACACCTTTGGAAAAGTAATATATAGATTATTACTAGAAACATACGAAGTAACTGACTCGACAACAGCCGACCCCATCAACAAAGAAAAGTAAAATAACTATGAAATGAAATCTTTTCATGTGATGCAATAACACATTGAGTCGACTACCGGAAGAAAGAAGAAGATATCAATGTTTGAACGAACACTTGTACGATATGAAGGCAATTTCACATTAGCTTCTTAAAATGTATCTAATATGAATGACCTTTGTCTTCAAGAAAAAAAAATCATCAAATAAGATATCTCTTTATACATCATATAGAATTTAAACTAATGAGTAGATTAATTATTGTCTTTTACAAAATATTTTTGACATATTACATAACTGTTTGAGAAGTCAATCATTCGAAATGAAAGAATTATTTTCTTTATAATTGAATATACATAAATATCAATAAATTTCTTACATTAAATGAAAGGTGATATATTGATGAACATCGTGTGGATGTTAAAAATAACAAGATACTAACATTTGGGCTGATCAATTTGTCTTTGAGTTGAAGATAGGTCATAGACTGAATTGGAAACGAATCCTTTCAAATATGATCTTCGGTTCATTTGACTAGGTACTAAATCTAAACCGTCTAATGAGTCCTTTAAGCAATGACGAAATCACGATTACGGTGCATGTTTCTTACCCTCTCACTATACAAATAGGTTCATACGTCAACGCCATCGTCGATGTTTCAAAAGTATCATTGAATTATATTCAATTAAATTATCTTTCACATAATGCGAGTAAAAATTTTCTTTAATAATCACTTCAATAATTCAATTCTTTATCTAATATATGTGTTATTGGTATTTCTGTACATTTAAAGGTTAAACTACATCAGATCAAATCAAATTCGTCTTCATTAAAATAAGCATTGACAAAACCAAGTGAAACAGGAACACAAGAATATGATGAATAATATTATACGTTCTCTTGTTCGTGTTCATCATATGTCACATATATCAATACTACTTAAAGAATTTTCTCAACAATTTGAAATATGTCTTCAATATCGACTAAAGAAAGGCATATATAAACTTTGTATAATAGAAACAACGGTGTGAGTGGATGTATGTTAAGTGATACTTGATCAATACCCATCCTAATCAAACCTCGAAGCCTAAGGCGATGTCTCAACTTTAATACACGATTACTACTTGTTTTCAACAAGGTTACGGGTACATTCATACATAACTGTGACCTTGGAATGTTGCGCTTAATGGATTTGGATGTATTGGATGGTGTGAAACTACGATGTATGATGCTTTGTGCTAATGAGGTCGGGTATGGATGTAGATGCGTGCGTGGTCATGTGTTAATTTGGGTTTGATTGTGGTTGTGCAAGTAATTGATCGAATATGGAAAGAGAGGCGTTATACAGCACCCACACCTAGATCCTCTCAATATCGAAACTTAATTATAGGTTTCAGCAAAAATATGATCCAAAACATACAATAAAACTCTACTTATGGCAATCAAATCCAAATGTTTTATATTTTTATTATGTCGTTATAAAGGATCTGCTTTTGTGTATAGTTTTAGATTTTGTTTCATTTTTATCCTTTCATGTTTTTTTTATTATTTTTATGGATAAAAAATATGTTCCTATGAATGGAATGAATAAAAATGAATAGATGGTCATTTGAATTCTCATGATTTATTGATGATTGTAAATATATATATATATATACACGCATATTTATAAAGAGACACTATTGAAATATTTTCTTTGTAAAACGATGTTGTTCTCATCTATCGTTTTTATCTTTTTCATAAGCGATCCTCTACGTGCTGTCGATCTAAATATTCATAACAGCGTAACTGAAATTCGTCAAATTCAAAGTGGTGTTGGTGCCTATCAATCTTATTTTAAAAATGATGAATATGCAAATATAATTGATGGCTCGATCAGTTGGGATGGAACACCATTTATTAAACAAGAGTTATATAATACGATTGATGGACTGAAAGATGCTTTAGTTATTGTACGACCATCAACTCCATGTAAATGTACGATTATAGAAGCAAAAATAATCGATCCGGAAACAATGTTGCTATACAATTTGGGAACAAAAGGTTATTTTTATGCTGATAGAGGGTCAATTGAATACCGATCGACAAGACCCAATCAAGGTGGTACAACTTTAAGATTTGAATTTAAGAAGAACGACACAACTTATACTGGTACATTATCATACTTAATGAGAGGCATAACTTGGTTGCCAAATTATGACTTATTTATTAAAGATGCAAATAGTGA